CTTTCCTGGTGTGCTTGAGGTTGAGGTAAAGGAGGGACCTGCTCAACAGAAGAGTTCCATGTTTTCAGTGGCCCATTCATTTCTCCCAGTAGGAACATTGAAGCACATCATCTGTAAAGCTCAACATCTAATCTAGGAGAACCACAAGTGAGGCTTCCAATTGATATGAAGTGTTCATCCTTACAACCTCTAGCCTTGACCCAAACTTGTCCCAGTGGCCACTTTTTAGCCTGTGTCTTCATCAAGTCCCTTTTATCCCATCTCCAGTCTGGTGTTGAAGCACCTGCAAATCATCTGTAGCTTCTCTCTGATTTTACATTTTATCCTTTGATAGTTTTTACTCACATCATGGGAGATTCAGACAGTGGGTCTATGGCAGGGGTGAAATCCAGCAGGTTCTGACAGGTTCTGGAGAACCAGTAGTGGAAATTTTGAGCAGTTCAGAGAACCGGCAAATACCACCTCTGGTTGGCCCCAGGAGAGAGGTGGGAATGGAGATTTTGCAATATCCTTCCCCTGCCGTGCCCACCAAACCATGCCTACCCAGCCACACCACACCCACCAACCTACGCCCACAGAACCGGTAGTAAAAAAATTAGGATTTCACCACCAGTCTGTGGGCTTTCTCTTTCCTATTCCTGTATTCCTCAAAGAGAGACTTCTTTGCAGATGGAAATGAACCTGCAGAAGTTTCTCTCCTGTCTTCTCAGCTCTAAGTTTCCTCGGTCACAGGTCAAGGAACGTTGCTTCTTGTTTCAGGCTGAAGAGGCGGAGGGGAGATTTTTGTCACACTTCCCCATAAGAATTAATCACTGTGGAACGCATTGCTTGCACTGTTCCAGCTAAGACAGTAATAATCTGCCTCATCTCCAGCCTCTGCATTGGTGATGGTCAACGATCCTGTAGATCCAGACTGGGTGGCAGTGAATCGATTTGGGATCCCTTCTCCCCTGCTGCAGCCGTTACAGTGGACAAAACGAGGGGCTTCTCCTGCTTTCTGTTGATGCCAGCTAATGGTGCTAGTACTCTGGGTTGTGCAGGAGATCGTAACGGTTCCACCTGGGGACACGGAACTTGTTGGAGGCTGAGTCCAACTTAATTGACCATCAATGCCTTTAGGGGAGAAAAAGAAAGAAATACTCTGACTCTGATTCTTTTGCTCTTAGACATTTCCAAACTCTTATAAGAATCACAGCCAAATCCTCTCTTGGCCCAGGAAAACTTTACCTGTGCAGTAAGCGAGGAGCGCAAGGAAGACCACAACCCAACCCATGGTCACCTTTGGCAAGGAAGGTCCTTCTAGGGGAGACAATTCTAACCTTCTTCTTCTCCTTTCCTTTCCTTAAATGCCTCTGATTGGCTGCTTCATGCAAATCAGATTTGCACTCATTGGTTCCGCTGGAATATTTTATTCCCCCAAAGCCCTTTGAAGTCTTCCAGTTTAGCCAATGAACAGAGGATAGATTTGCATAAAGATTTGAAAATCGGGGAGACTTCAAAACTCCCAAATCAACCTGACTGCATTATTGGGGATCAGGGAACCTTCAATCTTTCTTCAAACATCCTACTTTTTACGTGATTGGGACATGGAAATGCTTATATGTAAATGTAATTTTAAAACGATTTATCTGCATAACATGCAAGAGGGATTTAAAGGCCCTGGGAATGGACATTAACGACTGGGAAACCTTGACCTCCGATCGTTCAGCTTGGAGGCTAAAGACGCAGCATGGCCTTCTCCAATTCGAAGAGACACTTTTTTGGCAGGCCGAGGCAATGAGGCAGTCCCAGATCCAGTGAAATCTGGGCCTGGGCAGGGGACAGAATGTATCTGCCCTCAGTATGGAAGGGACTGCCACTCTCGAATTGGCCTTTTTAGTCACCCTAGATGCTGTTTTAGGACCTCTTTCCAGAGCACGACACCATCGTCTCTTGAGAATGAAGGTTGCCAATGAAGCAAGGAAGCATAACATGTCAGGGCTGATATGTCATTTTTTGCACAAACATGAAAGGACAGCAGCATCCCCTGCTGGCCACTGATTTTGAAACACCTGTGTTATCCCCACCTGGGCAGACAAAATGCAGCATTTCTCATCCTTTGAAGACCGTCATCATCCTTCTCCTTAAATATTAGAGGAAGGAAGGACCAAAAAAAATAAAGATCGAACGAAATGTGTCATCTTTATTCAGTCTCTTTCAGAAGATGCCCCAAAGTCTTCCTTAATATCTTTAACGCTTTGATTTAAGGAGAGATCATATGTATATCTGGAGCATCATGATTGTTTCTGCTTTTCCTTCTTGGCATTCCTGGTGTGCTTGAGGTTGAGGCAAAGGAGGTTCCTGCTCAACAGAAGAGTTTCATGTTTTCAGTGGCTCATTCATTTCTCCCAGTAGGAACATTGAAGCACATCATCTGTAAAGCTCAACATCTAATCTAGGAGAACCACATCTGAGGCTTCCAATTGATACGAAGTGTTCATCCTTACAACCTCTAGCCTTGACCCAAAATTGAGCCAGTGGTCAATTTTTGGCCTGTGTCCCTTTTATCCCATCTCCAGTCAGGTGCATCTGCAAATCACCTGTAGCTTCTCCAATTTTACACCTTCTCCTTTCATACTTTTTACTCAAACCATCTGGGATTGTGGGTCTGTGGGCTTTTCCTGCACCTTTCTCTTTTCCTATTCCTGTATTCCTCATTCCTCTTCATAGGGACACAGAGACTTCTTTGCAGATGGAAATGAATCTGCAGAAGTTTCTCTCCTGTCTTCTCACCTCTAGTTTCCTCGGTCACAAGTCAAGGAACGTTGCTTCTTGTTTCAGGCTGAGGAGGCAGAGAGGAGGTTTTTGTCACACTTCCCCATAAGAATTAATCACTGTGGAACGCTTTGCTTGCACTGTTCCAGCTAAGACAGTAATAATCTGCCTCATCTCCAGCCTCTGCATTGGTGATGGTCAACGATCCTGTAGTCCCAGATCTGGTGGCAGTAAACCGATTTGGGATCCCTTCTCCCCTGTTACTGCAGCCATCACAATGGACAAAACGAGGGGCTTCTCCTGCTTTCTGTTGATTCCAGTAAATGGTATTAGTAGCCTGAGTTGTGCAGGAGATCGTAACGGTTCCACCTGGGGATACGGAGCTGGAAGGAGGCTGGATCCAAGGGGACTGACCATCAATGCCTTTAAATGAAGGAGGGAGCGAGGGAGGAAGGGAAAGCGTGAGGAGAGAAAAAGAAAGAAATACTGTTAAACTGGTGCATCTTTGTTCATTCTAAGCCATTTTCCACTTCTTATGAGAATCACAGCCAAATCCTCTCTTGGCCCAAGGAAATTTTACCTGTGCAGTAAGCAAGGAGTGCTAAGAAAATCACAGCCCAACCCATGGTGAACTTTGGCAAGGAAGATCCTTCAAGGGAAATAAATTCTAACCTTCTTCTTCTCCTTTCCTTTCCTTAAATGCCTCTAATTGGCCACTTCATGCAAATGAGATCTGCACTCTTTGGTTCCGCTAGAATATGGGGGCCTTCAAATTTAGCCAATGACCAAAGGACATATTTGAATAGAAATTTGAAAATTGGGATGAGTTAAAACCTTCTAATTAAACCTGAGCACATTATTGAGAAACAGGGAAGCTTCAATGTTTCTTTGAAAACTCTACGTTTTACATGAATGGGTCATGGAAATGTTTATATGTAAATGTAATTATGAAACTGTATTTATCTCCATGGCACGTAAGGGCTAATATGCATTTCGTACAGAATCAAAGCCGTTGGGCAAAAGAAACCAGAATTTTGCCTTTGGTCATTTTATTTTATTATTTCCTTTGACAAATTTAGGATGGATTGGCAGATTGGGCCCCAAACTTATTGATTAATTGTTATAGTTCAAGGAAAGGAGATCTCCCTTCAAGAACACCAGTCTAGGGGAAAAAAGAACCATCCTCCAACTGGACCTATATACTAGAGCAGGTTATGGGCAATTTTCATACTTTTTCAAAATTGTTTAGAAAAGCCGCTGGGAGCAGAGTTGGTGAACCTAAACCTTCTCCTTTTATCCTTCCTTATTTCACCTGGTGGTGACGATTCAGTGCCCTCCTCCCTCCTTTACTCTAGAAGAAGAGGTTGAACTTTCCAGGAGCCACATCTGCCCATCCTTTTGCTGAAGTCACATTGTCTTATTTCTTCTGAAAGGGCAGCAGGACCCCCTACTGGCTACTAATATTGTAACATCTATGTTATCCTCACGTGGGCAGAAGAAATGCAGGTTTTGCCATCCTTTGTGCACCATCATCCTCCTCCTTCCATCCTTCTCCCCCTTTTTCTGTCTGTTCCCAGAAGATAGACAGAAAAATATGGAGGAGCTGAAAGAGAACAGGAATGGGACATTTTAATACTATGACAGCAAAAACGACACTTTAGCTCAACGTTATATCTATGTTTTCTCTTTGTGCTTCTCTGTGCTTGTCCACTTTAGTGGCTTGCTTGAGGTTGAAGTGAAGGATGTAGAGTATCTTCCATCAGAAGAGTTTCATGTTTTTAGTGGCACATTCGTTTCTCCTAAGAAGCACAGCTTCAGCACATGGTCTGCTCCGTTCAACATCTCATGTAAGAGAACCACACATGACTGTGCCAATCTTCACTAAGAGTTCATCCGTACTTCCAGAGTCCATGGCGCAAACCTCGCCCAAGAATTACTTTTTAGTGCTCTGTCCTCCTACAATCTCTTTTATTCCATTTCCATTTAGCATTTGTCTAAAGATTCCCCCCCCCCAGCTTCTCCAATTTCACTTCTTCTCCATTCACAATTTGTGAAGGACTGAGACCTGGGATCTGTGGGCTTCCCTTGCACCCTTCTCATCCACACTCCTGTCTCCACCATCCCTCTTGTTGGTCCAATGGGAGACTCCTCTGCAGAAGGAGATGAACCTGCAGGAGTTTTGCTTGTGTCTTCTCCTCAATTCGAATGTCCCCGGTCACAAGTCAAGGTATGTTGCTTTTTGTTTCAGGCTGGAGAGGCAGAGAGGAGGTTTTTGTCACACTTCCCCATAAGAATTAATCACTGTGGAACGCGTTGCCTGCACTGTTCCAGCTACCACAGTAATAATCAGCCTCATCTCCAGCCTCTGTGTTGGTAATGGTCAAAGATCCTGTGGTCCCAGATCTGGTGGCAGTGAACCGATTTGGGATCCCTTCTCCCCTGCTGCAGCCATCACAGTGGACAAAACGAGGGGATTTTCCTGCTTTCTGTTGATGCCAGCGGATGGTGTCAGTACTCTGGGTTGTGCAGGAGATTGTAACGGTTCCACCTGGGGACACGGAACTTGTTGGAGGCTGAGTCCAACTTAGTTGACCATCAATGCCTTCAGGGGAGAAAAAGAAAGAAATACTCTGACGCTGATTCTTTTGCTCTTAGACATTTACAAATTCTTATGAGAATCACAGCCAAATCCTCTCTTGGCTCAGGAAAACTTTACCTGTGCAGTAAGCGAGGAGCGCAAGGAAGACCACAGCCCAACCCATGGTCACCTTTGGCAAGGAAGGTCCTTCTAGGGGAGACAATTCTAACCTTCTTCTTCTTCTTCTTTCCTTTCCTTAAATGCCTCTGATTGGCCGCTTCATGCAAATCAGATTTGCACTCATTGGTTCCGCTGGAATATTTTATTCCCCCAAAACACTTTGAAGTCTTCCAGTTTAGCCAATGAAAGGAGGACAGATTTGCATTGAGATTTGAAAATTGGAGAGACTTCAAAACTCCCAATTTAACCTGACCGTGTTATTGCAGATCAGGGAGCCTTCAATGTTTCTTCAAACATTCTATTTTTTAGGTGAACGGGAGATAGAAATATTTATATGTAAATGTAATTTTAAAATGATTTATCTGCATAACATGTCAGGGCTAATATGTCATTTTCTGCACAAACATGAAAGGACAGCAGCACCCCCTGTTGGCCACTGATTTTGCAACACCTGTGTTATCCCCACCTGGGCAGAAGAAATGCAGCATTTCTCATCCTTTGAAGACCGTCATCATCCTTCTCCTTAAATATTAGAGGAAAGGCAAAAAAAAATAAACATGGAACAAAAATGGGACAAAATGTGTCATCTTTATTCAGTCTCTTTCAGAAGATGTTCCAAAGTCTTCCTTAATATTTTTAACACTTTGACTTCAGGTAGATATTATATGTATGTCTGGAGCATCATGATTGTTTCTGCTTTTCCTTCTTGACTTTCCTGGTGTGCCTGAGGTTGAGGTAAAGGAGGTTCCTTCTCAACAGAAGAGTTCCATGTTTTCAGTGGCTCGTTCATTTCTCCCAGCAGGAACATTGAAGCACATCATCTGTAAAACTCAACATCTAATCTAGGAGAACCGCATGTGAGGGTTCCAATTGATATGAAGTGTTCATCCTTCCATCCTCTAGCCTTGACCCAAACTTGTCCCAGTGGCCACTTTTCGCCTGTGTCTTCATAAAGTCCCTTTTATCCTATCTCCAGTCAAGTGTTGATGCACCTGCAAATCCCCTGTAGCTTCTTTCCAATTTTACATCTTATCCATTGATAGTTTTTACTCAAATCATGGGAGATTCAGACGGTGGGTCTGTGGCCTTTCTCTTTCCTGTTCCTGCATTCCTCACCCCTCTTCATAGAGACACAGAGACTTCTTTGCAGAGGGAAATGAACCTGCACGAGTTTCTCTCCTGTCTTCTCAGCTCTAGTTTCCTCAATACAAGTCAAAGTAGATTGTGTCTTGTTTCAGGCTGAAGATGAAGAGAGGAGGTTTCTGTCACACTTCCCCATAAGAATTTACCACTGTGGAACACATTACTGCCCCAGCTGGCACAGTAATAATCTGCCTCGTCTCCAGCATCCACATTGGTGATGGTCAAAGATCCTGTAGTCCCAGATCTGGTGGCAGTGAACCGATTTGGGATCCCTTCTCCCCTGTTACTGCAGCCATCACAGTGGACAAAACAGGGGGCTTCTCCTGCTTTCTGTTGATGCCAGTAGATGGTATTACCAACAGCTGTGCAGGAGAGTATAACGGTTCCACCTGGGGACACAGAGCTGGAGGGAGGCTGAGTCCAAGTGGACTGACCATTAAGGCCTTTAAATAAAGGAGGGAGGGAGGGAGAGAAAGGGTGAGGAGATAAAAAGAAAGAAATAGTGTTAAACTGATGCATCATAGTTCACTCTGGGCCATTTCCAAACTCTTATGAGAATCACAGCCAAATCCTCTCTTGGCCCAGGAGAACTTTACCTGTGCAGTAAGTGAGGAGCGCAAGGAAGACCACAGCCCAACCCATGGTCACCTTTGGCAAGGAAGGTCCTTCTAGGGGAGACAATTCTAACCTTCTTCTTCTCCTTTCCTTTCCTTAAATGCCTCTGATTGGCTGCTTCATGCAAATCAGATTTGCACTCATTGGTTCCGCTGGAATATTTTATTCCCCCAAAGCCCTTTGAAGTCTTCCAGTTTAGCCAATGAACAGAGGATAGATTTGCATAGAGATTTGAAAATTGGGGAGACTTAAAAGCTTACAATTAAACCTGACCCCGTTATTTTGGATCACGCAACAAGCCTTCAATGTGTCTTCCAACACCCTATGTTTTACATGAACGGGACATGGAATTGTTTATATGTAAATGTAATTATGAACTTGCATTTATCTCCATGTCACGTTAGGGCTAATATGCAATTCCTACAGAATGTGAAACCTAATATATATACATATATTTTCAAAAAGCAAGAAATAAAAACCAAGAAGCCGTTGTGCGAAACAAACCAGAATTTTGCCTTTGGTCATTTTATTTTATTATTCCCTTCGACAAATTTGGGATGGATTTTTTTTTTTTAATTTGATTTATATGCCGCCCTTCTCCAGAGACTCAGGGCGGCTTACAATGCTTTTAAGCAATAGCCTTCATACTTTTGTATATTTATACAAAGTCAGCTTATTGCCCCCACAAACTGGGTCCTCATTGGATTGGTGGATTGTGACCCAAACTCACTGATTAATTGTTACAGTTCAGGGAAAGGAGATCTCCCTTCAAGAACACCAGTCGAGGGAAAAGAAAGAGAACCTGGACCTACATACTTAAGCAGGTCATAAGCAATTTCATACTCTTTTTTTAAAAAAAATTGAAAAGCTGCTGGGAGCGGAATTGGTGGACCTAAACCTTCTCCTTTTATCCTTCCTTATTTCACCTGGTGGGTGAGGACTCAGTGCCCTCCTCCCTCCTTTACTCTAGAAGAAGAGATTGAACTTTCCAGGAGCCACATCTGCCCCTCCTTTTGCTGAAGTCACATTGTCTTATTTCTTCTGAAAGGGCAGCAGGACCCCCTACTGGCTACTAATATTGTAACATCTATGTTATCCGCACCTGGGCAGAAGAAATGCAGGTTTTGCCATCCTTTGTGCACCATCATCCTCCTCCTTCCATCCTTCTCCCCATTTTTCTGTCTGTTCCCAGAAGATAGACAGAAAAATCTGGAGGAGCTGAAAGAGAACAGGAATGGGACATTTTAATGCCATGACACCAAAAATGACACTTTAGCTCAACATTATATCTATGTTTTCTCTTTGTGCTTCTCTGTGCTTGTCCACTTTAGTGGCTTGCTTGAGGTTGAGGTGAAGGATGTACAGTATCTTCCATCAGAAGAGTTTCATGTTTTTAGTGGCACATTCGTTTCTCCTAAGAAGCACAGCTTTAGCACATGGTCTCCTCCGTTCAACATCTCATGTAGGAGAACCACACATGACTGTGCCAATCTTCACTAAGAGTTCATCCGTACTTCCAGAGTCCATGGCGCAAACCTCGCCCAAGAATTACTTTTTAGTGCTCTGTCCTCCTACAATCTCTTTTATTCCATTTCCATTTAGCATTTGTCTAAAGATCCCCCCCCCAGCTTCTCCAATTTCACTTCTTCTCCATTCACAATTTGGGAAGAACTGAGACCTGGGATCTGTGGGCTTCCCTTGCACCCTTCTCATCCACACTCCTGTCTCCACCATCCCTCTTGTTGGTCCAATGGGAGACTCCTCTGCAGAAGGAGATGAACCTGCAGGAGTTTTGCTTGTGTCTTCTCCTCAATTCGAATGTCCCCGGTCACAAGTCAAGGTAGGTTGCTTCTTGTCTCAGGCTGAGGAGGCAGAGAGGAGGTTTTTGTCACACTTCCCCATAAGAATTCACCACCGTGCATCACGGTATGTGCACTGTTCCAGCTACCACAGTAATAATCTGCCTCATCCTCAGCCTGTGCGTTGGTGATGGTCAAAGTTCCTGTGGTCCCAGACATGGTGGCAGTGAACCGATCGGGGATCCCTTCTCCCCTGCTGTATCCGCTACATTCAACATAGCGAGGTGCTTCTCCTGGTTTCTGTTGATACCAGCCAATACAGTAAGAAGTCTGAGTAGTTCTGCAGGAGAAAGTAATCGTTCCACCCGGGGATACAGAACTTGTCGGAGGTTGAGTCCAACTTAACTGACCATCAATGCCTTTAAAGGGGGAGAGGGAGAGAGAGAAAGAGAGAAAAAGAGTGAGGGGAGAAGAAGGAAGGAATACCGTTAAAACTGATGCATCTTCCTTCACTCTGAGCCATTTGGTAGGGGCCAAATTCTTTTGACAATCACCACCAATCCTCTTTTGGCCCAGAAAAACTTTACCTGTGTAGTAAGTGAGGAGTGCTAAGAAAATCACAGTCCAACCCATGGTCACCTTTGCAAAGGAATAATCTTTTAAGGAAAGAAATTATAACCTTCTTCAGAGCTTCTCCTTTCCTTTCCTTAAATGCCCCTGCTTTCTCCCTTCATGTAAATGAGATCTGCCCTCATTGGTTCTACTAGATTATTTTCTTCCCCTGAAAGCATGATGAGGTTTCCTAGTGAAGTCAATGAACACCAGAGAGATTTGCATATGCCAGATTTGGAACCAGGGAGAGGAAAATGTCTGTGGAGATTCTAAGTCACCTGGTGACTTAAAGTCACCAAGGTGTTTTTTCAAAAGGCAGCTGGACTGTTTTTCCAAGAAGGAGGAGGAGGAGGAGAAAGAGGAGGAGGAGAAAGAGGAGGAGGAGAAGGAGGAGGAGGGGAAGGGGAAGGGGAAGGGGAAGAAGGAGAAGGAGAAGGAGGAGAAGGAGAAGGAGGAGAAGGAGAAGAAAGAGGAGGAGGAGGAGGAGGAGGAGGAGAAGGGGAAGGGGAAGAAGGAGAAGGAGAAGGAGAAGGAAGAGAAGGAGAAGGAGAAGGAGAAGGAGAAGGAGAAGGAGGAGAAGGAGAAGGAGAAGGAGAAGGAGAAGGAGAAGGAGAAGGAGAAGGAGAAGGAGAAGGAGAAGAAAGTTTTATAATAGGGAACAGAAAGGGGAAAGGAGAATTCTTCTCATATTGGAGAAGGAGGAGGAGAAGAAGGAGAAGGAGAAGAGGAGGAGGAGGAGGAAGAGGAAGGAGAAGGAGGAGAAGGAGAAGGAGGAGGAGGAGGAGAAGGAGAAGAAGGTTTTATAATAGGGAACAGAAAGGGGAAAGGAGAATTCTTCTCATATTGGAGAAGGAGGAGGAGAAGAAGGAGGAGGAGGAGGAGGAGGAGGAGGAGAAGAAGAAGAAGAAGAAGAAGAAGAAGAAGAAGAAGAAGAAGAAGAAGAAGAAGAAGAAGAAGAAGAAGAAGAAGAAGAAGAAGAAGAAGAAGAAGCAGCTACATCAGTTCATTGTTCCAGTTGCCTTTTGAAGAAGCACCTTTGAGACAGGGAGGCAATAGAATTAAAAAGATCTCAATTAAAAAAATCAAAGCATGATGTTTTAGGAAACATCTGAATAGGTACACTATTCTGATCAATAGGTGTACTATTGATCCCTGAATTCGACATAGAAATGATCCATGGAATTGTATAATTGTATATAATTATGTGTATAAGCACATAAAATCTAAAGTGCAGGTACAATAGAATCAAGAGCTAATATCTTTTTTTTTCCAAAAAGAAAAACCAAAAAGACGTTGTGTAAAACAAAGCAGGAAATTCTGATCTCCTTTGTTATTTGAATTTCAATTTAAAGGAACCTGATCCACTTTTCCTCCTCACCTATAGAGATTCTGCACCTTTAACACAATGCTATCTTACCTTTCAGATGTTTTCAGCCCTGAAAGAAATTTGCCGTATTGGTTTCATCCCTTTCTGTGTCATCTTTCTTCTGAACCAGGTAGATTCTGCTAGACAAATGGCCAGGGGTGGGCTTCAAAAATTTTAGCAACGGGTTCTCTGCCTGGTTGCTGGGTAGGCGTGGCCATGGTGGGCGTGGCCTAGTCGGCCTCCTGCACCATGGCGGGTGTGTGTGTTTTTGCTCTCCTTGGGCTCCGGAGGCCCTCCAGAAGCTGGAAATGGGCCCATTTCCGGCCTTCCAGAACTTCTGGCCGGGCCATTTTTTACCCTCCCCAGGCTCCAGAGGCTTTTCTAGAGCCTCCCGGAGGGTGAAAAAGGCCTCTCCTGGGCTCCAGAGGCTCCCAGAGACCAGAAATGGGGAGCCTCCGTGAGGCCTGTTTTTCATCCTCCCTGAGTCTCTGTACTTACCTGGCATCCAAAACAGGCCGCATGGAGACTCCTGGGAGGGGAGGGGCAGGGTGGGAGGGGCAGCCAGGAATGGGATTTGGGGGTTCACCAAACCCCGCAGAATCTTCGCTAGAGGATCACCGAACCCGGCTGAATCCAGAGCAGCCCACCCCTGCAAATGGCCCTGTTTGGCAAATGGAGAAAGGTCTGCTAATATTGCTGTGTCTTGCATTCCCACAACTCAAGGAAAGCTCAAATTCCATGGTTTGTTCCAATCTTCTGAAGATTGGAGCAGAAAGGATCTTCTCACAGTGCCCTAAGCTCGTTGAACCAAGTGAGATCGGTCACCAAATCGCATTCCACATCAGTGTGCCTCATCTTCGGCCTGCATGTTGCTGAAGCTCAAGTGGTCCAGGATCCCATAATAGGAAACCGTAAAATGATCTAGGATTACTTGTTTTCTGCTGCTACAATCACCATTTCCCACCTATTGTGAAGCTTGTTCATATCTCTGTGGACATCAGTAAGTGGCCTTTGAACTGCTAACAGTGAAGTGTGGATGTTTGAATTGGGGACCAAGATTTCACTGCAGGTGGACTTGAATAATAGCTGCCCAGTGTTGCAGGAGATAAATCAAAACTGGCCTTGAGACATTACTCTGTAACCCTGAAAATATCAAAAGCTAAACTCTAAAGGTGAACACCCAGAGACTCATTAGAGTCCAGGGAAATATGAGTTCTTATCTGTCAGGGTAATGCAGACAGATAAACCAAGGAAACTGAGCTAGTGAAAAGAGAAAGTGAAGGTATTCAACCAAGAGATGGTAAACAGGATGTAATGGAAAGTAATGAGACAGAGTATACAGAGTTATTAGAAAATGAAATTACGAGCAGTTCCAGCAGCAGCAGAAGTAATGGTACTAGTAGTGTTTGTATCAGTGACAGTAGAAGCCGAAGCAGGAGATGAGGACATAATAGAGATAGAAAACATCATGAATATTGGAAAGGATTAACAGCTGTTCACCTTTAAATGGGAGGAGTGTTAGGGTAATGATGATTTAATAGCTGACCAGCTGCTGTAATGCTGTAATACTCTAATGATGATGCAATTGTAGTAATGAGTCAGTAGGATTATTTTATTTATTTTATTTTATTTTATTTTTTAAAAAATTGATTTTTATGCCACTCTTCTCTGGAGACTCAGGGCGGCTTACAATGTGTTAAGCAATAGCCTTCATACTTTTGTATATTTTTACAAAGTCAGTTTATTGCCCCCACAAACTGGGTCCTCAATTTACCTACCTTAGAAAGGATGGAAGGCTGAGTCAACCTTGAGCCTGGCAAGATTCGAACTTACTAATTGCAGACAGCTGGAGTTAAATTACAATGCATTAGTCTGCTGAGCTATCCAGCTATCCAATTATTTGAAAATAGGGTTATTTATTTTACCACTTTAAGAGTCTGTATTATAAAGAAAGGACCTGTTGGGGCATATCTCTCTCTCCGTGTTTTCTTCCCTGCTGTAGCTGCTGTTTGATTGTTTGACCTTTGCCTAGTACGTGTATGTATATATTCTTTGATAAAACCACTATTTAAATACAAACCTCTGTTTACTGTATTTGCTCCTGGGTTGTCTCATATAGTCACACTGTATGCACTCTGACGTTATCAAACTTCCCTAAGATTTCAGTAAGGAACGTGAAAAGAATAAAAGCAAAAAGGATTATGAGGGAGCTGGGCTTTCTGAAGGAAGATCATCTGGATAGGATGGTCTCCTCCTCTTGTTTATATCAACCACAATTGTACATTTGTCCTCGTGTCACATTGCACCGAGACAGGCAGAACCAAAAAAAAAGGGGGAAATGAAATGAAAAGAAGGCTTTTTGTCTCACTTCCCCATCTGAACGAACCACTGTGGAACTGATTGTCTGACCAGACACAACAATAATAGGTGGCTTCGTCTTCAACCTGAGCCCCGGTGATAGTCAAGGACATCATGTTTCCTGATCTGGAACCAGAAAAACGTTCTGGAACTCCCGGTGCTTTGGAGGTGGTGTAAGTGATCACTCCTCGATGTTGATGCCCAGCTATCTCCTTGGTCCATAAAGGGTAGTGGCCATCCCCAAGATTTCCACCATTATATCGACAAGATATGGTGACTGTGCCTCCAGTGGGGACAAATTCTGCATCCTTCAGGGTCTGAAGTTGTTGAAGGCTAGGACCTGAAAAAGAGCAAAACGCTGCTTGTTCAATGGAGGGTCAAGAGGATTACAACTAAGAATAGCCAACTCAGCTATCCAGCAAGGAAATTCTTCTGAGTTTAGTTCTAGAAAGAGTCATGCTTCCTTCCAAAGAGATTTCTCTTACCAATAGAGATCAGGACTACGGAGAGAAGAAGTGCCTGGGACATGGTGGGAGAACTCAATCCCTTCTCTAAACCAAGTGGATTTCCCACTCACCTCCTCTCCACCTCTCCTAAATCCCCAAAGGACAAGAGACGACCTCCTCATGCAAATGTCTTGCTCTTCAACTACCAACCCAATCCTCTGGGTGTCTGATTAAAGATGGGGATGAGCAACTGCTAAGATACGTCTTGTCTGAAAGATTAATAACTCCTTGAAGCGGGAGGAAAGGAAGAGACAAAATGAGCTATTTAATAGACTGAAGACTGTCCAGCATTCAGTCCATGAACCTGTTTTGATCTTTTTGAGTTTACGGAGCCATATTACACAAAAAAGTATCTGCATTTGGACAAATATGGGATGTGTTGGAGGTTATGTATCCCACACTCATTGATTAATTCTCGTGATTCAAGGAGAAGGAATCTCCCTTCAAGACCACCAGTCTAAAGATATGATAAAGGGACTACATATCTAGTTTTCCATGTACTGACAGCAGCAAGGATTGTATTTGCAAAATGCTGGAAAAATGAGAACACTCCCATCAGATGAGGATGTAATTCACAAAATGTTAGATTGCGCTGAGATGGACAGACTGACTTTAAAAATAAAAGACACAGGAGACACTGAATATTACTTGATGTGGAATAGATTTTATGAGTGGTTAAAGACAAGAGGTAGAAATTAGATGAAGAAAGATTATTGCTATGCATGAATTAAATATAAAGATGGTCTATAACTATAAATACGCCAGTATGTTTAACAGAATTATAAATAAGTTAATATAAAAAGAAATTTAGCTAAAACCATTCTGTTAAACATTATTACTATTGTTAGCAGTATATGTGTTAATATTTTTACTGTCTTTTCTTTGTTTTTCTTTTGTAAATGATATACCCTGACAATACATTGTATTCAAAATGTTTATGAATAAAAATTAAAAATAATAATAATTAAAAAAAGAAAGAAAAAGAGGAGAGCTGGACTTCAGTTGGAGATAAGAGCTAAGAGAGGTCATAAGCAATCCTCATATTCAGTTTTCTTCATTTTTGGACCAAGGCGCTGGAAGCAGAGCTGATGGACATAAACCATTTCCTTTCATCCTGCATATTTCACCTGTTCTGTGGGGATCGGTGCCCTCCTCCTCCTCCTCCTCCTCCCTTACTCTGGAGGAAGAGACTGGACTTTGCAGGAGCCACATCTGCCCACCCTTTTCTTTAAGTCACTTTTGGAGAACCTCTACTGGCTACTGATATTCCACCATCTGCATTATCTCCACCTGGACTGAAGACATTTGCCAATCCTTTGAGAACCATCATCTTCCTTCTCCTGCACTCTCCAAAGTGCTAAGCTACCCAGCTTTCAGAAGAAAGAAGCTCATAGTGCTGGTTTCATCTTTTGTCTGTTTCACCTGAACCAGGTAGAGGTTGCTAGACAAATGGCCCCGTTTGGCAAATGAAGCAGGATCTGCCTAGAATTTCTGTTTCTTGGATTCATACGGAACCAAGATCAGATTATATGGTTTGTTCTAATCCTCTTGAGAATGGTGGAGGAAGCATCTTCTCATAATGCCCCAAGCTAGTTAATCCCAGAATAAGAGAATAAGAAGTTCGAAGGGACCTTGGAGGTCTTCCAGTCTAACCCGCTGCTCAAACAGAAAACCCTATACCAGTGATGGCTAACCTTTTTGCCGTCGTGTGCCAAAAGTGGGGGGAGCACAGGGGGAGTCGCACACATGTGTGCCCACACCCATAATTCAATGCCCCTCATGCCCCACCCCTCCCCCACATGCATGCATGTGCGATCTCCTCCACACTCCTCCCGCTTTTGGCACGCGATGGCAAAAAGATTACCGGTCAGCCCGGTCGGCCTGTTTTTTCACCCTCCCCAGGCTCCAGAGGCTTCCTTGGAGCCTGGGGAGGGCGAAAACAGACTTCCCCACCCACTTGGAGGCCCTCTAGAGGCCAGAAATAGCCTGTTTCCCGACTTCTGGTTGGCCCGAAAGGCCTGTTTTTCATCCTCCCCAGGCTCCAGAGGCTTTTTTGGAGCCAGAGGAGGGCAAGAACGGCCTCCACCCCCAGCCCTGGAGGTCCCTCGGAGGCCCTCCAGAGGCCGGAAACGGCCCATTTCCCGACTTCTGGTGATCCCAGAAGGCCTGAAAATCAGCTGACCGGCACGCACATGCGCGCTGGAGCTGAGCTAGAGCAACGCTCGCGTGCTCACAGATATGACCCCATGTGCCACGTGTGCCACAGGTTCACCATCACGGCCCTATACCATTTCAGACAAATGATTGTCTAATCTATTCTTAAAAACCTCCAGTGATGGAGCATCCACAACTTCTGGAGGCAAGTCGTTCCACTGGTTAATTTTCCTCACTGTTAGGAAGTTTCTCCTTAGTTCTAGGTTGCTTCTCTCCTTGATTAGTTTCCATCAAAACAGTAATGAGTTCTTAAAAATCTTAAATAAAGAACTGGAAAAAAATAAAACCATAAACATGATGAGGAGCTGGGCTTTCTGAATGAAGAGCACCTGGATCGGATGATCTTTCCCTCTTGCCTAAAATTACACATTTGTCCCTTCTTGTCAAATTTCACTGATGCACACAGGACCAAAACAAAATAAAGGAAATGAAGTGAAGGGGTTTTGTCTCACTTCCCCACCTGAAAGAATCACTGTGGGACTGACTACCCGTCCAGATACAACAATAATAGGTGGCTTCATCTTCAACCAGAGCTCCAGCGATAGTCAAGGACATCACATTCCCTGATCTGGACCCAGAGAAACGTTCTGGAATTCCTGATGGTCTGGAACTGGTCGAATGGATCAGAATTTGAGGTTTATTCCCAGGTATCTGCTGTGACCACCAAGGTTGGTTGCTATCCCCAAGATTTCCACCATCGTATCGACAAGATATGGTGACTGTTCGTCCAACTGCAACAAATTCTGGGTCCTTCAAGGTCTGCAGTTGTTGAAGGCTGGGGCCTGAAAGAGAGAAAGACATTGCTTGTTCAATGGAAAGTCAAGAGGACCATGAATAACAAACCTAGCTACCTGGCAAGGAGGCTCTTGTGGGTTTAATTCTAGAAAGTGTTGTGCCTCCTTACTATAGTCTCTTACCAACAGAGATCAAGACTATAAAGAGAAGAAGCGCCTGGGACATGGTTGGAGAACTCAATGGGCCAATCCCTTCTCTGAAGCAATTGGATTTTCCCCTGGACTCCTCTCCGCCTCTCTTAAACCCCCAAAGGACAAGACAGGACCTCCTCATGCAAATGTCTTTCTCTTCAACTATCAAGCCAACCTTTTGGGAGGCTGATTTGAGAAGAAAGGAAGAAGCTGCTAAGATGTGACTTGTTGAAAAGCAATATTTCTGGTAGTAAGGAGCGGAGGACGAGGCAAAACTTAGCCTTTGAATAGCTTGAAGGATTTCTGGAGGGTATTCCATGAATCTCCTCTGATCTCAGGAGTTAAGGAAATGGTATCGCAGAAAAGCAATGCTTCGGAGTGTAGGTGGGATGGATTGGGGGGGACAAAGAGCAAGCTCATTGATTAACAGAATAACAGACAGAATAACAGAATAACAGAGTTGGGAGAGACCTTGGAGGTCTTCTAGTCCAACCCCCTGCTTAGGCAGGAAACCCTACACCACTTCAGACAAATGGTTATTCAATCTCTTCTTAAAGACTTCCAGTGTTGGAGCATCCACAACTTCTGGAGGCAAGTTGTTCCACTGATTAATTGTTCTCACTGTCAGGAAATTCCTCCTTAGTTCTAAGTTGCTTCTCTCCTTGATGAGTTTCCACCCATTGCTTCTTGTCCTGCCTTCAGGTGCTTTGGAGAAGAGCTTGACTCCCTCTTCTTTGGGGCAGCCCCTGAGATATCGGAAGATTGCTATCATATCTCCCCTAGACTAGTCCTTCTTTTCATTAAACTAGACATACCCAGTTCCTGCAACCCTTCTTTGTCTGTTTTATCCTCCAGTCCCCTAATCATCTTTGTTGCTTTTCTCTATGCTCTTTCTAGAGTCTCCAATCTTTTTCACATCGTGGTGACCAAAACTGGATGCAGTATTAATTCTACTCAAGTAGGTCTTTAAGAGAGGAAAAAGAGGAGAACGATCCTCCGATTGGACATATAAAGTAGGGCAGTTCATAAACAATTCCTTAAACTGTTTTTTTTTTTAAATCTTTGAAACGTGCCACCAGAAGCAGAATTGGTGCAACTAAGCATTTTCTTTTATCCCACATATTTCTCATGTTCTGTGAGGGATCATCCTCCCTTACCTAGAGGAGATCAACCCTGACTGCTCTTTAGAAGGCCAGATCCTGAAGAGGAAACTCAAAATCCTTTGGCCACCTAATGAGAAGGAAGGACTCCCTGGAGAAGAGCCTAATGCTGGAAACGATGGAGGGCAAAAGAAGAAGGGGACGTCAGAGAATGAGGTGGCCAGATGGAGTCACTGAAGCAGTCGGCCTGAGCTTCAATGGACTCCAGAGGATGGTAGAGGACAGGAAGGCCTGGAGGAACGCTGTCCATGGGGCGATGGGTCGGACATGACTTCGCAACTAACAACAACAGCTGGCCATCCTTTTGCTTAAGTCTTTTTTGGAGAAACATGAAAGGGCACCAGCAGCCCCTACTGGCCACTGATGTTGCAACATCTGCATGGTCCCCACATGGGCTGAAAAAGTGCAGCATTTCTGGTCCTTCAAGGACCATCATCGTCCTTCTCTCCAAACATCAGAGGAAGGGCAGACAAAAGAAAAGAATGAGGCGAAAAAGGACAAGAATGGAACAAATTTGCCTTCTTTATTATTTCTGCTATAGAAGATGTCACCAAGAGTCACCTGTTGATTTTAATACTTGGCTTTGAAAAAAGGACATTAAGGTAGAAATTAGGCATACATCCGGAGCATTGTGCTTCTGGGTGCTTGTCCTTCTCAACCTTAGTGGCTTGCTTGTGGTTGACACAAAGGATGGCGGACCGATTTTTAAGTGGGCTGCACTAAATCGTTGCACCTTTTTTGCCAAGGTTGTTAAATGAATTACTGCAATGGTTACATGAATCTCTCTTTTTTATTTTTGGAAGAACTTTTTCAGTTTTATTTCTTATACACATAATATAAAATGTACATTTTCTTATACATAATTAATCCTACATAAACATTTTTTTCCTTAAAGAAAGCATTAAAATAAGGGATTTCAATTTACATTCGGAGTTGCTCGTCTACCCTTTCTTCCCTCATTTTGCAACAACCCTTCTTCTTCTCCTCCCCTTCTCTTCCTTCCTCTATCTCCTCCTACTTTCTCCTTCCTCCTCTCCTACCTCATCCTACTTCCCCTTCCTTTCCCCCACTCCTCTCTTCTTTTCCTCCTTCTCATTCTCTCCTACTCCTGTCCCTTTCCTTCCTCTCCTTTTCCCTTCCTTCCCTTCCTCTTCCTCCCTCTCCTCTTCCTACCCTCTCCTCCTCTCTCCTTTCTATCTTCTTTGCTGTGGAATATTCTCCTTCTTTGGAATCCAAACAGTTTACATGAATCTCATGGTTGAAAACTGAAACTGGGGTTTCCCCCATTGACTTGGTTTGTTGGAAGCCAGCTGGGAAGGACTGGCTGATCACATGACCCCAGAATGCTCGAACCATCCAAAATACCTTCCCTGACTGTGTGCAGTTCTTCTCTAAAACCATCTGCAACCCGTGTTGAGCGAAGCGTTCAAGGAAGACAGGGCCACCTTCTGGTTTTTGTCACAGTTCCCCATAAGGTGGAATCACTGTGCTCTGAGAATTGCCATCATGAGACAAACAATAATAGTCAGCCTCATCTTCTGTTTGAACGTTAGAGATGGATAAAGTGGCCGAATTGGAAGAAGAATCATAAGAACCAGAAAATCGCTCAGGGATTCCAGATGGTCTGCTAGAATAATTATAGATCACTAGTACTGGTTTAGTGCCAGGTTTCTGCTGATACCAGCTCACAACGTAGCCAGTAATGCTACCCCCTGCCCTGGTACAGCTGATCCAGATTGTTCCTCCAGGGGATACCGACAGAGAAGGTGGCTGAGTCATGGTGAACTGGGCCAAGGTACCTGCAGGGGGAAGAAAAGGGAATGAAATGCAACTGAGAGGCAACCACAGAGAAATCCATTTATTCAGCTGAAAGAAGAAAAGAAGAAGATGCTTGATTATTGCCAGACAACAGGATACTTTACCAGTAAGATAGGTGAACAGGAAGAGGAGGAAGAGAAATGGTTGGGCCATGGCAGAGAAACGGGCAAGGACTGATCTTCTGAAGCCAAACTTCCTTCTAGGTGGACCTCTTCTCCTCACGCTTAAGTTGAGCTGCAAGAAAGATGGATTGCAAAGGCATGCAAATACCCTTCCTGTTCCTCCCTTTTAAAGCCCCTAGATCTATTTCTAGGACAAAGACAAGGGGTGCCTGGCAGGAGATTTCATTCAACTTCAGAGAAGGGTTGATGCTTTCTTAGCTCTTTGGCAATTTATCTCTCCAAGGGAATCACTGTGATTTGGGCACCACCTTCAAGAGATAAACAGTAATCATCAGCCTCATCTTCTGCATGGAGGTTGGAGATGGATAACTGGCTGAATTGGACCAAGGGTCAGTAGAACCAGAAAAATCACTTAGGGATTCCAGAAGACAAAAATACCTTTGCAAATTAAAGGGATATTTCCGAGTGGAAGATTGTATCTGGGGAGTAGAGAAGAGAAGAGTAGAGAAGAGGAGCTGAGATGCCCTCAGAAACAAATGCAGTTTATTAAGCTTAGGAAAGTAGAAAGGGGGAGAGGAGACGTCCCAATTGCCACAAAACCAGAAATGCTCCAAAGAGGAGAATTAAACCTTGAGCTCCTCATAGGAACAGATTTCTTACTACTGGAGTAGAGGAGGAGTAAGAACCCAAGGAGAAACATTTGGGCCATGGCAGAGAAGTGGAGAACAGTTGTATTTGTGAAAGCAACATTTCATTTCAATTGTCCCTTTCTCGACTTTTATATTAAGTTGCAAGTAGAGGTGGTGCAAAATAAAGCAAATATTTTCTCATTCTACCCGTTTCTTAGGGGTTCCCTTCATCCGTTCCTTCAACAAGTAAAAAGGGGGCTTGCATAGGATCTCATTTGTAAGTCTCCCTTATGGGGTGGGGTTGAAATCTGTCAGCTGCTCCCCCCAATTCAGGGAAGTGACCTGACTTTGAGGTTAGAGCAGGGTGTGCTAAAAGCAAAGGGAGGGGCTTCACCCCAACACACACTAACCCCTCCCCAGATTCAACTCAGCATGTGGTCCTCTCCATTAAGGGACCTGATTTCTTCTGCTGAATGTTGTACACCTTCTATACAGGTAGTCCTCAATTTATGACCCAACTGAAACCAGCAAGGAGGTTCTTACACGAGTCCCATCCAATGTTACCACTTTCTTTGCCATTGGTTGTTAATCAAATAACTGCAGTTGTTAAGTGAATCATGCAGTTGTTAAGGGAATTTGGTTTCCCCCATTGGCTTTCTTTGTGGAATGCTGGCTGGGAAGGTCATAGAAGGGGGATCACATGAAAAGAGGATGCCAAAAATGTCGAAAATACATTCCCTGTCTGTATGCAATTCTTTTGTGAAACCACCTGCAACCCATGTTGAACGAAGCGTTCAAGGAAGGCTGAGCCACCTTCTGGTTTTTGTCACAGTTCCCCATAAGGTGGAATCACTGTGCACTGATAATTGCCATCATAAGACAAACAGAAATAGTCAGCCTCATCTTCTCGTTGAACGTTGGAGATGGATAAAGTGGCCGAATTGGAAGAAGAATCATAAGAACCAGAAAATCGCTCAGGGATTCCAGAAGGTCTGCTAGAATAACTATAGATCACTAGTACTGGTTTAGTGCCAGGTTTCTGCTGATACCAGCTCACAGAGTAGCTAGTAATGCTACCCCCTGCCCTGGTACAGGTGATCCTGACTGTTCCTCCAGGGGATACCGACAGAGAAGGTGGCTGAGTCATGGTGAACTGGGCCAAGGCACCTGCAGGGGGAGAGAAAAGGGATAAAATGCAATTGAGATGCAGTCAGAGAGAAATGCATTTATTCAGCTGAAAGAAAGGAAAAAAGGGCTGAGGAGAAGGGAATAATTCCAGAAATGTTCCAAGGAAGAGGAAAAGTTGCTAGATCTTTGCCAGTCAACGGGGTACTTTACCAGTGAAGTAGGTGAGGACGAAGAGGAGGAAGAGAAGTTGTTGGGCCATGGCAGAGAAATGGGCAAGGACTGATCTTCTGAAACCAACGTTCCTTCTAGGTGGACCTCTTCTCCTCACGCTTAAGTTGAGCTACAAGAAAGAGAGGCTGCAAAGGCATGCAAATACTCTTCCTGTTTCTCCCTTTTAAAGCCCCTAGATCTATTTCTAAGAGAAAGGCAAAAGGTGCCTGGCAGGAGATTTCATTCAACTTCAGAGAAGGATTAAGATGCTTTCTTAGCTCTTTGGCAATTTATCTGTCCAAGGGAATCACTGTGATTTGGGCGCCCCCTTCAGGAGATAAACAGTAATCATCAGCCTCATCTTCTGCATGGAAGTTGGAGATGGACGAGTGGCTGAATTGGACGAAGGGTCAGGAGAACCAGAAAAATCATTCCTCTCCTTCCCTCTCCTCTTCCTACCCTCTCGTTCCTCTCTCCTTTCTATCTTCCTTGCTGTGGAATATTCTCCTTCTTTGGTATCCAAACAATTTACATGAATCTCATGGTTGCAAACTGAAACTGGGGTTTCCCCCATTGACTTGGTTTGTTGGAAGCCAGCTGGGAAGGACTGGCTGATCACATGACCCCAGAATGCTCAAACCATCCAAAATACCTTCCCTGACTGTGTGCAGTTCTTTTGTCAAACCACCTGCAACCCATGTTGAGCGAAGCCTTCAAGGAAGACAGGGCCACCTTCTGGTTTTTGTCACAGTTCCCCATAAAGTGGAATCACTGTGCTCTGAGAATTGCTATCATAAGACAAACAGTAATAGTCAGCCTCATCTTCCGGTTGAACGTTGGAGATGGATAAAGTGGCCGAATTGGAGGAAGAATCATAAGAACCAGAAAATCGCTCAGGGATTCCAGAGGGTCTGCTAGAAAAATCATAGATCACTGCTAGGGGTTTAGTGCCAGGTTTCTGCTGATACCAGCTCACATAGTAGCTAGAAATGCTACCGCCTGCCCTGGTACAGGTGATCCTGACTGTTCCTCCAGGGGATACCGACAGAGAAGGTGGCTGAGTCATGGTGAACTGGGCCAAGGCACCTGCAGGGGGAAGAAAGGGTATAAAATAAATCTAAGATGCAGTCAGAGGAAAAAGTTTTAATTCAGCTGAAAGAAAGGAAAAAAGGGACAAGGAGAAGGGAATAATTCCAGAAATATAGAAATGTTCCAAGGAAGAGGAAAAGTTGCTAGATCTTTGCCAGTCAACGGGGTACTTTACCAGTGAAGTAAGTGATGAGAAAGAGGAGGAAGAGAAACTGTTGGGCCATGGCAGAGAAATGGGCAAGAACTGATCTTCTGAAACCAACGGTCCTTCTAGAATCTAGGTGGACCTCTTCTCCTCACGCTTAAGTTGAGCTGTAAAAAAGAGAGGCTGCAAAGGCATGCAAATACTCTTCCTGTTCCTCCCTTTTAAAGCCCCTAGATCTATTTCTAAGACCAAGGCAAAAGGTGGCTGGCAGGAGATTTCATTCAACTTCAGAGAAGGGTTAAGATGCTTTCTTAGCTCTTTGGCAATTTATCTCTCCAAGGGAATCACTGTGATTTGGGCACCACCTTCAGGAGATAAACAGTAACCATCAGCCTCATCTTCTGCATGGAGGTTGGAGATGGACAACTGGCTGAATTGGATTTTTCTGGAAAAATCACTCAGGGATTCCAGAAGAGAAAAATGCCTTTGCAAATTAAAGGGATATTTCCGAGTGGAAGATTGTATCTGGGGAGTAGAGAAGAGAAGAGTAGAGAAGAGAAGCTGAGATGCCCTCAGAAACAAATGCAGTTTATTAAGCTTAGGAAAGTAGAAAGGGGGAGAGGAGACATCGAAATTGCCACAAAACCAGAAATGCTCCAAAGAGGAGAATTAAACCTTAAGCTCCTCATAGGAACAGATTTCTTACTACTGGAGTAGAGGAGGAGTAAGAACCCAAGGAGAAACATTTGGGCCATGGCAGAGAAGTGGGGAACAGTTGTATTTGTGAAAGCAACATTTCATATCAATTGTCCCTTTCTCAACTTTTATATTAAGTTGCAAGAAGAGGTGGTGCAAAATAAAGCAAATATTTTCTCATTCTATCCATTTCTTAGGGGTCCCCTTCATCCATTCCTTCAACAAGTAAAAAGGGGGCTTGCATAGGATCTCATTTTTAAGTCTCCCTTATGGGGTGGGGTTAGGGGATTGAAATCTGTCAGCTGCTCCCCCCAATTCAGGGAAGTGACCTGACTTTGAGGTTAGAGCAGGGTGTGCTAAAATCAAAGGGAGGGGCTTCACCCAAAACACACTAACCCCTCCCCAGATTCAACTCAGCATGTGGTCCTCTCCATTAAGGGACCTGATTTCTTCTGTTGAATGTTGTACACCTTCTATACTGGTAGCCCTCAGTTTATGACCCAACTGAAACCAGCAAGGAGGTTCTTCCACGAGTCCCATCCAATGTTACCACTTTCTTTGCCATTGGTTGTTAATCAAATACCTGCAGTTGTTAAGTGAGTCATGCAGTTGATAAGGGAATTTGGTTTCCCCCATTGGCTTTCTTTGTGGAATGCTGGCTGGGAAGGTCATAGAAGGGGGATCGCATGAAAAGAGGATGCTCAAGCCATTGAAAATACAGTCCCTGGCTGTCTGCAATTCTTTTGTGAAACCACCTGCAACCCATGTTGAGCGAAGCATTCAAGGAAGGTTGAGCCACCTTCTGGTTTTTGTCACAGTTCCCCATAAGGTGGAATCACTGTGCTCTGAGCATTGTCATCATAAGACAAACAGAAATAGACAGCCTCATCTTCTGTTTGAACGTTGGAGATGGATAAAGTGGCTGAATTGGAGGAAGAATCGATAGAACCAGAAAATCGCTCAGGGATTCCAGAAGGTCTCTCACTATCTTCATAGATCACTGCTAGGATTTTAGTATCAGGTTTCTGCTGATACCAGCTCACATAGTGGTCAGAAATGCTACCCCCTGCCCTGGTACAGGTGATGCTGACTGTTTCTCCAGGGGATACCGACAGAGAAGGTGGCTGAGTCATGGTGAACTGGGCCAAGGCACCTGCAGGGGGAAGAAGGGGTATAAAATAAATCTAAGATGCAGTCAGAGGGAAAAGTTTTAATTCAGCTAAAAGAAAGGAAAAAAGGGAGAGGAGAAGGGAATAATTCCAGCAAAGTAGAAATCTTCCAAGGAAGAGAAGATGCTTGATTTTTGCCAGTCAACAGGATACTTTACCAGTGAAGTAGGTGAGGAGGAAGAGGAGGAAGAGAAACAGTTGGGCCATGGCAGAGAAACGGGCAAGGACTGATCTTCCAAAACCAATGTTCCTTCTAGGTAAACCTCTTCTCCTCACGCTTAAGTTGAGCTGTCAGAAAGAGAGGCTGCAAAGGCATGCAAATACTCTTCCTGTTTCTCCCTTTTAAAGCCTCTAGATCTATTTCCAGGACAAAGACAAGGGGTGGCTGGCAGGAGATTTCATTCAACTTCAGAGAAGGGTTAAGATGCTTTCTTACGGAGTCACATCCAATTTCATGAACATCTTTGCCATGGTTGTTAAGCAAATCAAACAGTTATTAAGTGAATCATGCAGTTGTTAAGGGAATCCGGGTTCCCCCATGGACAACACCTGGACAGACTCGACAAACAGGAGACTGTGAGTTTGGATCCTAGGGAGAGGCAGATATTTCTCTCTCTTTTAGCACAATGAGAATATATCTGCTTGTCACTGCGTTTTTTTTATTTACCAGATGAGCTCTATTTTTGAACTATAAGACTTTCCATAGCTTGCCAAGAATTCTTATCTCTAAGCTAACTGTGCATGTCCACACATCACACATTCCTTCACTCCTTCTTCTGACTTTCTTTGTTCTCCTGCCAAGAGGTTCTCCTGCCAGGAGGTCCGGCAGGAACGTTTGCCAAAATGTAATTAATTTAGCTAGTGAGATTTTTTATTTTCTTTATAACAAATAAATGAGTTTTCTTAGAAGATATTTCTTCGGGTTTGTTTTCTTAAAGTATGCTCGCAAGGAAAGGCCACGATTCGCTCCTCTTAATCAGGGTGCAATTTCCCAGAGGCAGAATGGGATTAATCAACGCCCTGACACTGCTGAACTCTGCATTGGTGACGGGAAAGGCATCCGGCCATTAAAACGCTCTGTTCATTGAATGCTAGATGGGAAGATCATAGAAAGTGATCACATGGGGGGAAAAAAGGATGCTGAAACTATCAAAAGTACATTCCCTACTTGTGTGCAATTCTTTTGTCAAACCATGTTGAGCGAAGCGTTCAAGGAAGGCTGAGCCACCTTCTGGTTTTTGTCACAGTTCCCCATGAAATGCAATCACTGTGCTCTGAGAATTTTCATCACTCGTCAAACAGTAATAGTCAGCCTCATCTTCTGCTTGAACGTTGGAGATGGACAAGGTGGCCGAATTGGAGGAAGAATCATAAGAACCAGAAAATCGTTCGGGGATTCCAGAAGGTCTCTCACTATATTTATAGATCACTGCTAAGGGTTTAGTGCCAGATTTCTGCTGATACCAGCCCACATAATAGCCAGAAATGCTACCGCCTGCCCTGGTACAGGTGATCCTGACTGCTCCTCCAGGGGATACCGACAGAGAAGGTGGCTGAGTCATGGTGAACTGGGCCAAGGCACCTGCAGGGGGAAGAAAGGGTATAAAATAAATCTAAGATGCAGTCAAAGAGAAATGCATTTATTCAGCTGCAAAGAAGGAAAAAAGGGACAGGAGAAGGAAAGGAGGAACATCTAGAAATCTTCCAAGGAAGAGAAGAAGATGCTTGATTCTTGGCCAGTCAACAGAATACTTTACCAGTGAGATAAGTGAGCAGGAAGAGGAGGAAGAGAAACGATTGGGCCATGGCAGAGAAATGGGCAAGGACTGATCTTCTGAAACCAAAGTTCCTTCTAGGTGGACCTCTTCTCCCCACGCTTAAGTTGAGCTGCAAGAAAGAGAGACTGCAAAGGCATGCAAATACGCTTCCTGTTTCTCCCTTTTAAAGCCTCTAGATCTATATCTAGGACAAAGACAAGGGGTGGCTGGCAGGAGATTCCATTGGTGAGTCTCCAATGATGGAGGAAGGAGGAAGGGTAGAGAGTCCAGAACCAATCTGCCTTTCGCATTCTCACATTTCAGTGTCCTGGAACCTAAGCAAAGGATCTGATGGACAGATAGACAAATGAAAAGAGATGTCCTTCCAGTACGCTGGGCTCATGCCATGAAAGTTTTAGAAGGAGGACTAGAACCTTGAATGGCACCCAGAAGCATATTGGGAGCTAGTGCAGCTCATTAAGCAAAGGTGCAACCTGATTGACAGCATGTTGGAGTAGTCCATTTGGGAAGTGACCAAAGCATTTGTGACCATAAGCACCGTATCCTTGTCAGGGGTGGTATTCATTTACCTTCGCTACCGGCCCACAAATTTGAGCGCAGGTGCCTCCTCCACACATACTCAGAGCCTTTTGCACATGCTCAGAGGGTCTAAAAAGGGACGTGATGACATTCGGGTGGCTGGGTGAGTGAAGCCTCCCACCACCAGCATTACCAGTTCGTGCGATCCGGATAGAGCCAGCTGAATTTCACTACTGATCCTTGTCCAGGAAAAGATGCAACTGCTACACGACACAAATTCTGCAACAGTCCTTCTGGGGTTGACTGTCATCTTCTCCTCAAACAGGAGCCATCATTTCAGGAATGTTGCCTGCAACAGAATGCATGGTTGACCTTGAGGAAAGGAAGGAAGAGATGCTGCAAGGGAAACAATCAGATAAGAGGAGCAGGAGCCCAGAATCACTTAATGGTTATAAGAAGAAGAATCTGAGGAAAGATCCCCCCTTAAGGTTCCCACCAGTTAGAAGTGGCAGTGGGACGTTTCTACTTTCAGGCTTGCAAAGGTTACGTTAATACAGCCTTACAATGAAGTAGATTTAGTTTATCTTGAGTTGGAGGGTTGACTTCCCCTGAATGCACAGTGGCTCTGTTGGACATTGCACAATCAAAATCAGGATCAAAGATGGAAAATCACAACATCCAGAAGGTCCAAAACCCCAAACACATTCAATTTCAAGAGTAGAGTTGCACTTTATTCTATCCCATTCATCCCTACGTCCTCCAGACATAAAGATAGAACTTCCCCAGTAGCCAAGTGATACCTTGAATGGGGTCTTATACCCAGCATAGAAGCCTGAAGGCCAGTGCAGAAACAACCTAGAAATTTCCAGTATCCTAAGAGAAATGATGGGAAAGGAGGCACCAAGGTCTGGTAGAGGATTAGTTCACCCCCGAAGGAAAAATGGAGAGGGGAACTGGAAGACAATGAAAGGGTGGATCAAACACCAAGCAACCACACACAATCACACAAAACACACACGTTACTCTGCTTGTATCATCTCCACTCCATGTTCTCCAAGACTGGTTCAATGCCTCTTTTACAGCCCGACTTAATCAAACCTGTTATTTTTATTCTTTACTAAAAATCGGCATGCATAGCCACCTGCCCCAATGTGAAGTGAAACTTCAGAGAAGGGTTAAGATGCTTTCTTAGCTCTTTGCCAATTTCTCTTTTCACTGTGATTTGGGGGCCCCCATCAGGCCACGAAGAGCAATAAGCAGCCTCATCTTCTGCATGGAAGTTGGAGATGGACGAGTGGGTGAATTGGACAAAGGGTCAGTAGAACCAGAAAAATCCCTCAGGGATTAGAGAAGAGAAAAATACTTTTGCAAATTAATTTTTCAGTGGAGGATTGTATCTGGGGAGTAAGAAGACCAAGAGAAGCTGAGATGCCATCAGACAGAAATGCAGTTTATTAAGGTTAGGAAAGTAGAAAGGAGGAGCGGAGAGTTCCAAATTGCCACGAAACTACAAATGTTCCTAGGAGGAGAACTAAACATTGAGCTCCTCATACAAATTTTGTTTGTAGATAGCAAGCTGGGAAGGTCATAGAGGGGGACCGCATGAAAAGTCGGTGGTGAAACCATAGAAAATACATTCCCTGGCTGTGCTCGCTTCGGCAGCATATATACTAAAATTGGAACGATACGGAGAATATTAGCATGGCCCCTGCATAAGGATCACACACAAATTAATGAAGTGTTTGATAAGAAAGAAAGAAAGAAAGAAAGAAAGAAAGAAAGAAAGAAAGAAAGAAAGAAAGAAAGAGAAAATACATTCCCTGTCTATATACAATTCTTTTGTAAAACCATCTGCAAACAATGTTGAACGAAGCGTTCAAGGAAGACAGGGCCACCTCCTGGTTTTTGTCACAGTTCCCCATAAGGTGGAATCACTGTGCTCTGAGAATTGCTATCCTGAGACAAACAGTAATAGTCAGCCTCATCTTCCGGTTGAACGTTGGAGATGGATAAAGTGGCCGAATTGGAGGAAGAATCGATAGAACCAGAAAATCGCTCGGGGATTCCAGAAGGTCTGCCAGAATAACTATAGATCACTAGTACTGGTTTAGTGCCAGGTTTCTTTTGAAACCAGCTCACATGGTGGTCAGAAAAGCTGCCCCCTGCCCTGGTACAGGTGATCCTGATTGTTCCTCCAGGGGATACCGACAGAGAAGGTGGCTGAGTCATGGTGAACTGGGCCAAGGCATCTGCAGGGGGAAGAAAGGGTATAAAATAAATATAAGATGCAGTCAGAGGGAAAAATTTTAATTCCACTAAAAGAAAGGAAAAAAGGGATGAAGAGAAGAGAACAATTCCAGCAAAGTAGAAATCTTCCAAGGAAGAGAAGATGCTTGATTTTTGCCAGTCAACTGGGTACTTTACCAGTGAAGTAGGTGAGGAGGAAGAGGAGGAAGAGAAACAGTTGGGCCATGGCAGAGAAATGGGCAAGGAGTGATCTTCTGAATCCAACGTTCCTTCTAGAATCTAGGTGGACCTCTTCTCCTCACGCTTAAGTTGAGTTGCGAGAAAGAGAGGCTGCATAGGCATGCAAATACCCTTCCCGTTTCTCCCTTTTAAAGCCCCTAGATCTATTTCTAAGACCAAGGCAAGAGGTGGCTGGCAAGAGATTTCATTCAACTTCAGAGAAGGGTTAAGATGCTTTCTTAGCTCTTTGGCAATTTATCTCTCCAAGGGAATCACTGTGATTTGGGCACCACCTTCAGGAGATAAACAGTAATCATCAGCCTCATCTTCTGCATGGAGGTTGGAGATGGATAAGTGGCTGAATTGGATTTTTCTGGAAAAATCACTCAGGGATTCCAGAAGAGAAAAATACCTTTGCAAATTAAAGGGATATTTCCGAGTGGAAGATTGTATCTGGGGAGTAAGAAGGCAAAGAGGAGCTGAGATGCCCTCAGAAACAAATGCAGTTTATTAAGGTTAGGAAAGTAGAAAGGAGGAGAGGAGACATCCAAATTGCCACAAAACCAGAAATGCTCCAAAGAGGAGAATTAAACCTTGAGCTCCTCATAGGAACAGATTTCTTACTACTGGAGTAGAGGAGGAGTAAGAACCCAAGGAGAAACATTTGGGCCATGGCAGAGAAAACAGTTGTATTTGTGAAAGCAACATTTCATTTCAATTGTCCCTTTCTCGACTTTTATATTAAGTTGCAAGAAGAGGTGGTGCAAAATAAAGCAAATATTTTCTCATTCTACCCGTTTCTTAGGGGTCCCCTTCATCCATTCCTTCAACAAGCAAAAAGGGGGTTTGCATAGGATCTCATTTGTAAGTCTCCCTTATGGGGTGGGGATAGGGGGTTGAAATCTGTCAGCTGCTCCCCCCAATTCAGGGAAGTGACCTGACTTTGAGGATAGAGCAGGGTGTGCTAAAAGCAAAGGGAGGGGCTTCACCCCAACACACACTAACCCCTCCCCAGATTCAGTTCAGCATGTGGTCCTCTCCATTAAGGGACCTGATTTCTTCTGTTGAATGTTGTACACCTTCCATAGAGGTAGCCCTCAATTTATGACCCAACTGAAACCAGCAAGGAGGTTCTTCCACGAGTCCCATCCAATGTTACCACTTTCTTTGCCGTTGGTTGTTAATCAAATAACTGCAGTTGTTAAGTGAGTCATGCAGTTGTTAAGGGAATCTGGTTTCCCCCATTGGCTTTCTTTGTGGAATGCTGGCTGGGAAGGTCATAGAAGGGGGATCACATGAAAAGACGATGGTCAAACCATTGAAAATACAGTCCCTGGCTGTGCTCGCTTCGGCAACCCGTATACTAAAATTGGAACGATACAGAGAAGGTTGGCAAGGCCCCCGCGTTAGGATCACATGCAAATTCATAAAGCGTTTGATAAAGAAAGAAAGAAAGGAAGGAAGGAAGGAAGGAAGGAAGGAAGGAAGGAAGAAGGAAGGAAAGAAAGAAAGAAAGAAAGAAAGAAAGAAAGAAAGAAAGAAAGAAAGAAAGAAAATACATTCCCTACTTGTCTGCAATTCTTTTGTAAAACCACCTGCAACACATGTTGAGCGAAGCGTTCAAGGAAGGCTGAGCCACCTTCTGGTTTTTGTCACAGTTCCCCATAAGGTGGAATCACTGTGCTCTGAGTATTTTCATCACTCGTCAAACAGTAATAGTCAGCCTCATCTTCCGGTTGAACGTTGGAGATGGATAAAGTGGCCGAATTGGAGGAAGAATCATAAGAACCAGAAAATCGCTCAGGGATTCCAGAAGGTCTCTCACTATCTTTATAGATCACTGCTAGGGGTTTAGTGCCAGGTTTCTGCTGATGCCAGATCACATAGTAGCTAGAAATGCTGCCCCTGCCCTGGTACAGGTGATCCTGACTGTTCCTCCAGGGGATACGGACAGAGAAGGTGGCTGAGTCATGGTGAACTGGGCCAAGGCACCTGCAGGGGGAAGAAAAGGGATAAAGTGCATCTAAGATGCAATCAGAGAGAAATGTTTGAATTTAGCTGGAAAAAAAGGACAAAGTGTGTGAGGAGAAGGAAATAATTCCAGAAATGTAAAAATGTTCCAAGGAAGAGGAAAAGTTGCTAGATCTTTTCCAGTCAACGGGATACTTTACCGGTGAAGTAGGTGAGGAGGAAGAGGAGGAAGAGAAATTGTTGGGCCATGGCAGAGAAATGGGCAAGGACTGATCTTCTGAAACCAACGTTCCTTCTAGGTGGACCTCTTCTCCTCACGCTTAAGTTGAGCTGCGAGAAAGAGAGGCTGCAAAGGCATGCAAATCCCCTTCCTGTTCCTCCCTTTTAAAGCCTCTAGATCTATTTCTAGGACAAAGACAAGGGGTGGCTGGCAGGAGATTCCATTGGTGAGTCTCCAATGAAGGAAGAAGGAGAAAAGGTAGAGACTCCAACTCCACCTCTCTTCCAATAAGATCCAGAATTGATCTGTCTTTAGGATTCCCAGATTTCAGTATGTTGGAACCTAAGCAAAGGATGCGATGGACAGGTAGATCATTAGAAAGAGGTGGTCCCTGCAGTAAGCTGCCACCATGCCATGAAAGCTTTAGAAGGAGGACTAGAACCTTGAATGGCCCCCAGAAGTGTATTAGGAGCTAGTGCAACTCAGGAAACAGAGGTGTAACCTGGATAATTTTCAGCTTATGCATAATCTTCAAGGGTTGACTGCACATTGCAGTAGTCCATTTCGGAGATAATCCAAAACTGATCCCCCCAATTCAAGAAGTGACTTGATGGCAAGGTTAGGGTAAGGTTTGCTAAAAACAAAGAAATGGCTCTTCCCCTAACCACACTAAGCCCTTCCCAAATTTCCAAACCAAACTCAATGCAGCATCTGGTCACATCCATTCAAGGACCTGAGTCAGTATGTTGTATGTAAACCTTCTGGGCAGGTGGTCCTCGATTTACGACCATGGTTTAAACCAGAATTTTTGTTGCAAAGCAAAAGAGTCACACCGATTTTATGATCCTTTTGGTTGTTAAACACATGACTGCTTTTTTAAAGTGAATTACACAGTTGTGGAGCCAATCCGGTTTCCCCGATTGAATTTGCTTCTCAGAAGCTGGCTAGGAAGGTCATACATGTGATGACATGAAAAGAGGATGCCAAAAATGTCGAAAATACATTCTGTGGCTGGGTGCAATTCTTTTGTAAACCCATCTGCAAACCAAGTTGAGCAAAGCATTCAAGGAAGACAGGGCCACCTTCTGGTTTTTGTCACAGTTCCCCATAAGGTGGAATCACTGTGCTCTGAGAATTGCTATCATAAGACAAACAGAAATAGTCAGCCTCATCTTCTCGTTGAACGTTGGAGATGGACAAGGTGGCTGTATTAGAGGAAGTATCGACAGAACCAGAAAATCGCTCAGGGATTCCAGAAGGTCTCTCGGTATCTTTATACATCACTGCTAGGATTTTAGTATCAGGTTTCTGCTGATACCAGCTCACATAGTGGTCAGAAAAGCTGCCCCCTTCCCTGGTACAGGTGATGCTGACTGTTCCGCCAGGGAATACGGACAGAGAAGGTGGCTGAGTCATGGTGAACTGGGCCAAGGCACCTGCAGGGGGAAGAAGGGGAATAAAATAAATCTAAGATGCAGTCAGAGGGAAAAAATTTAATTCATCTGAAAGAAAGGAAAAAAGGGAGAGGAGAAGGAAATAATTCCAGAAATGTAGAAATGTTCCAAGGAAGAGGAAAAGTTGCTAGATCTTTTCCAGTCAACGGGGTACTCTACCAGTGAAGTAGGTGAGGAGGAAGACGAGGAAGAGAAATTGTTGGGCCATGGCAGAGAAATGGGCAAGGACTGATCTTCTGAAACCAACGTTCCTTCTAGGTGGACCTCTTCTCCTCACGCTTAAGTTGAGCTGCGAGAAAGAGAGGCTGCAAAGGCATGCAAATACTCTTCCTGTTTCTCCCTTTTAAAGCCTCTAGATCTATTTCTAGGACAAAGACAAGGGGTGGCTGGCAGGAGATTTCACTGGTGAGTCTCCAATGAAGGAAGAAGGAGAAAAGGTAGAGACTCCAACTCCACCTCTCTTCCCATAACACCCAGAATTGATCTGTCTTTAGGATTCCCAGATTTCAGTATGTTGGAACCTAAGCAAAGGATGTGATGGACCGGTAGATCATTAGAAAGAGGTGGTCCCTGCAGTAAGATGCCCCCATGCCGTGAAAGCTTTAGAAGGAGGACTAGAACCTTGAATGGCTCCGAGAAGCTTATTGGGAGTTAGTGCAACTCAGGAAACAGAAGTGTAACTTGGATTACCAGACACTTCTTCAAGTATTTTCAGCTTATAGATACTCTTCAAGGGCAACCCTGTTGACTGCACCTTGCAGTAGTCCATATGGGAGGTAACCCAAAGCTTATCCCCCCAATTCAGTGAAGTGACTTGACTGCAAGGTTAATGTTTGCTAAAAACCCAGAGATGGCTCTTCCCCTAAAATGCACTAAGCCCTTACCAAATTTCCAAAACAAACTCAATGCAGCATCTGGTCATATCCATTCAAGGACCTGAGTCTGTATGTTGTATTAAAACCTTTGGTCTCACATCCATTATCTTATGGACCAAAGTCACTTTCTCTTTTTATGTATTGTTGTTTGTATTAATATATGTATCTTGTATATACATGGTACAACATTATACTTTTTATATGTTTAATAAAGTTTTGTTTTTAAAATCAAAAAAAAAAGGAGGAAACAAAGAAAACCTTCTAGGCAGATAGTCCTTGATTTATGACCACAGTTTAAACCAGAATTTTTGTTGCAAAGTAAAAGAGTCCACACCTGAGTCACACCGATTTTATGATCCTTTTGGTCGTTAAACAGATGACTGGTTATTTTAAAGTGAATTACACAGTTGTGAAGCCAATCCAGTTTCCCCGATTGAATTTGCTTCTCAGAAGCTGGCTGGGAAGGTCATACTTGTGATGACATGAAAAGAGGATGCCAAAAATGTTGAAAATACATTCTGTGGCTGCGTGCAATTCTTTTGTAAAACCATCTGCAAACCATGTTGAACGAAGCATTCAAGGAAGACAGGGCCACCTTCTGGTTTTTGTCACAGTTCCCCATAAGTTGGAATCACTGTGCTCTGAGAATTGCTATCCTGAGACAAACAGTAATAGTCAGCCTCATCTTCTGGTTGAACGTTGGAGATGGATAAAGTGGCCGAATTGGAGGAAGAATCGATAGAACCAGAAAATCGCTCGGGGATTCCAGAAGGTCTGCCAGAATAACTATAGATCACTAGTACTGGTTTAGTGCCAGGTTTCTTTTGAAACCAGCTCACATGGTGGTCAGAAAAGCTGCCCCCTGCCCTGGTACAGGTGATCCTGACTGTTCCCCCAGGGGATACCGACAGAGAAGGTGGCTGAGTCATGGTGAACTGGGCCAAGGCACCTGCAGGGGGAAGAAGGGGAATAAAATAAATCTAAGATGCAGTCAGAGGGAAAAGTTTTAATTCAGCTGAAAAAAAAGGACAAAGGGTGTGAGGAGAAGGAAATAATTCCAGAAATGTAGAAATGTTCCAAGGAAGAGGAAAAGTTGCTAGATCTTTGCCAGTCAACGGGATACTTTACCGGTGAAGTAGGTGAGGAGGAAGAGGAGGAAGAGAAATTGTTGAGCCATGGCAGAGAAATGGGCAAGGGCTGGTCTTCTGAAACCAACGTTCCTTCTAGGTGGACCTCTTCTCCTCACGCTTAAGTTGAGCTGCGAGAAAGAGAGGCTGCAAAGGCATGCAAATACGCTTCCTGTTTCTCCCTTTTAAAGCCCCTAGATCTATTTCTAGGACAAAGACAAGGGGTGGCTGGCAGGAGATTTCACTGGTGAGTCTCCAATGAAGGAAGAAGGAGAAAAGGTAGACACTCCAACTCCACCTCTCTTCCAATAAGATCCAGAATTGATCTGTCTTTAGGATTCCCAGATTTCAGTATGTTGGAACCTAAGCAAAGGATGTGATGGACAGGTAGATCATTGGAAAGAGGTGATCTCTGCAGTAAGCTGCCACCATGCCATGAAAGCTTTAGAAGGAGGACTAGAACCTTGAATAGCCCCCAGAAGTGTATTAGTAGCTAGTGCAACTCAGGAAACAGAGGTGTAACCTGGATAATTTTCAGCTTATGCATAATCTTCAAGGGTTGACTGCACATTGCAGTAGTCCATTTCGGAGATAATCCAAAACTGATCCCCCCAATTCAGAGAAGTGACTTGACGGCAAGGTTAGGGTAAGGTTTGCTAAAAACAAAGAAATGGCTCTTCCCCTAACCACACTAAGCCCTTCCCAAATTTCCAAACCAGACTCAGTGCAGCATCTGGTCACATCCATTCAAGGACCTGAGTCAGTATGTTGTATGTAAACCTTCTGGGCAGGTGGTCCTCGATTTACGACCATGGTTTAAACCAGAATTTTTGTTGCAAAGCAAAAGAGTCACACCGATTTTATGATCCTTTTGGTTGTTAAACACATGACTGCTTTTTTAAAGTGAATTACACAGTTGTGGAGCCAATCCGGTTCCCCGATTGAATTTGCTTCTCAGAAGCTGGCTGGGAAGGTCATACATGTGATGACATGAAAAGAGGATGCCAAAATGTCGAAAATACATTCTGTGGCTGGGTGCAATTCTTTTGTAAACCCATCTGCAAACCAAGTTGAGCAAAGCATTCAAGGAAGACAGGGCCACCTTCTGGTTTTTGTCACAGTTCCCCATAAGGTGGAATCACTGTGCTCTGAGAATTGCTATCATAAGACAAACAGAAATAGTCAGCCTCATCTTCTCGTTGAACGTTGGAGATGGACAAGGTGGCTGTATTAGAGGAAGTATCGACAGAACCAGAAAATCGCTCAGGGATTCCAGAAGGTCTCTTACTATCTTCATAGATCACTGCTAGGATTTTAGTATCAGGTTTCTGCTGATACCAGCTCACATAGTGGTCAGAAAAGCTGCCCCCTTCCCTGGTACAGGTGATGCTGACTGTTCCCCCAGGGAATACGGACAGAGAAGGTGGCTGAGTCATGGTGAACTGGGCCAAGGCACCTGCAGGGGAAGAAGGGGAATAAAATAAATCTAAGATGCAGTCAGAGGGAAAAAATTTAATTCATCTGAAAGAAAGGAAAAAAGGGAGAGGAGAAGGAAATAATTCCAGAAATGTAGAAATGTTCCAAGGAAGAGGAAAAGTTGCTAGATCTTTGCCAGTCAACGGGGTACTCTACCAGTGAAGTAGGTGAGGAGGAAGACGAGGAAGAGAAATTGTTGGGCCATGGCAAAGAAATGGGCAAGGACTGATCTTCTGAAACCAACGTTCCTTCTAGGTGGACCTCTTCTCCTCACGCTTAAGTTGAGCTGCGAGAAAGAGAGCTGCAAAGGCATGCAAATCCCCTTCCTGTTCCTCCCTTTTAAAGCCTCTAGATCTATTTCTAGGACAAAGACAAGGGGTGGCTGGCAGGAGATTCCATTGGTGAGTCTCCAATGAAGGAAGAAGGAGAAAAGGTAGACACTCCAACTCCACCTCTCTTCCAATAAGATCCAGAATTGATCTGTCTTTAGGATTCCCAGATTTCAGTATGTTGGAACCTAAGCAAAGGATGTGATGGACAGGTAGATCATTAGAAAGAGGTGATCCCTGCAGTAAGCTGCCACCATGCCATGAAAGCTTTAGAAGGAGGACTAGAACCTTGAATGGCTCCAAGAAGCTTATTGGGAGTTAGTGCAACTCAGGAAACAGAAGTGTAACTTGGATTACCAGAAACTTCTTCAAGTATTTTCAATTTATAGATACTCTTCAAGGGCAACCCTGTTGACTGCACCTTGCAGTAGTCCATATGGGAGGTAATCCACAGCTGATCCCCCCAATTCAGGGAAGTGACTTGACTGCAAGGTTAGTGTTTGCTAAAAACCCAGAGATGGCTCTTCCCCTAAAATGCACTAAGCCCTTCCCAAATTTCCAAACCAAACCAATGCAGCATCTGGTCATATCCATTCAAGGACCTGAGTCTGTATGCTGTATGTAAACCTTCTGGGCAGGTAGTCCTCGATTTATGGCCACAGTTTAAACCAGAATTTTTGTTGCAAAGCAAAAGAGTCCTAATATGAGTCACACCGATTTTATGACTCTTTTGGTTATTAAACAAATGACTCGTTTTTTAAAGTGAATTAAACAGTTGTGGAGCCAATGCGGTTTTCCCTGATTGAATTTGCATCTCAGAAGCTGGCTGGGAAGGTCATAGATGTGATGATATGAAAAGAGGATGCCAAAAATGTCGAAAATACATTCCCTGTCTGTGTGCACTTCTTTTGTAAAACCATCTGCAAACAATGTTGAGCGAAGCGTTCAAGGAAGACAGGGCCACCTTCTGGTTTTTCTTACAGTTCCCCATAAGGTGGAATCACTGTGGGGGGCAAAGTGCCATGATAAGACAAACAATAATAGACAGCCTCGTCTTCTGGTCGAACGTTGGAAATGGATAAAGTGGCCGAATTGGAGGAAGAATCAACAGAACCAGAAAATCGCTCAGGGATTCCAGAAGGTCTCTCACTATGTTGATAGATCACTAGTACTGGTTTAGTGCCAGGTTTCTTTTGAAACCAGCTCACAAACGAGCCAGAAATGCCACCACCTGCCCTGGTACAGGTGATCCTGGCTGTTCCTCCAGGGGATACCGACAGCGAAGGTGGCTGAGTCATGGTGAACTGGGCCAAGGCACCTGCAGGGCAGAGAAAGGGGAATGAAATGCAATGGAGATGCAAGCAGAGAGAAATCCATTTATTCAACTGAAAGAAAGGGAAATAAGGAGAAGGGAACAATTCCAGCAAAGTAGAAATGTTCCGAAGAAGAGAAGAAGATGCTTGATTTTTGCCAGTCAACGGGGTACTTTACCAGTGAAGTAGGTGAGGGGGAAGAGGAGGAAGAAAAATGGTTGGGCCATGGCAGAGAAACGGGCAAGGACTGATCTTCCGAAACCAACGTTCCTTCTAGGTGGACCTCTTCTCCCCACGCTTAAGTTGAGCTGCAAGAAAGAGAGGCTGCAAAGGCATGCAAATTACCCTTCCTGTTTCTTGCTTTTAAGGCCTCTAGATCTATTTCTAGGACAAGGGCAAAAGGTAGCTGGCCGGAGATTCCATTCATGAGTCTACAATGGAAGAAGGAAAAAGGCAGAAACTCCAACTCCGCCTCTCTTCCCATAATATCCAGAATTGATCTATCATTAGGATGCCCAGATTTATGCATGTTGGAACCTAAGCAAAGGATCTCATGCACAAATGGACCATTGGAAAGAGGTGATCCCTGAAGCAAGCTGCCCCCATGCCATGAAGGCTTTAGAAAGAGCAATAGAACCTTCAATGGAACTCAGTTGGTGAAGCTCCTGATGCAACGTTGTTACCTGGATTAATAGTCACCTTTTAAACTAAAGTGGATGGCAGGAGATTTCACCGGTGAGTCTCCTCTTTGGGGAAGGGTAGAAGGTCCAACTCCATCTCTCTTCCCATATCATCCCGAATCGATCTGCCTTTTGCATTCTCACCTTTCGGTGTTGCTGGAATCTAAGCAAAGCATTGGATGGACAGATGGACCATTGGGAAGAGGTGGTCTCTCCAGTAAGCCACCCCCATGCCATGAAAGCTATAGAAGCACCACCAGAAGCATATTGGGAGCTAGGGCATCTCATGAAGCACAGGTGTAACTTTGGCTACTGAAGAATGTAGTGAAAGAGCAAACAAAGTAGCTGTTGCTTGTTAATTACCAGAACCAATAGACACAGGAACTAGCCAGATTTCTCAACTCTGCTTCTTTTCAGGAACAGAAGATTAACTTTTTTCCTTCCAAACAAAGCTGAATAGGGAAAATTATCCCATCAATAAACACAGGGTTAAACGTCACCAAGCACAGAATTAAACGTCACCAAAAACCAGTTTTAGACCAAAACTCAGAAACTCACGTCTGAATGTCAATCTTCCTAGCTAGCCAAGAAGCCATGCTGAATGTCACTCATCTTGGTTCCTTGTCATTAAAAGCCTCTTTCCGGCAGCTAATGAAAACGAATCAAGGAGAAAAGCATCCTGGAACTGAGGAGTAACTTCCTAACGGTGAGGACAATTAACCAGTGGAATCGCCTTCAGAAGTTGTGGGTGCTTTATCACTGGAGGCTTTTAAGAAGAGACTAAATAGCCACTTGTTTGAAATGGCATGTCAAGGTTCTGATGGATGCCCTAATTAAATCATGATCTTCAAACCAAACTTCAAAAGAAATCCAGTCATTTATTAGGAGCTTCATGTCGGCATGTTTCAAGTGAAGCCAACTCTGACCCCACGTAATTTACCACCCAATCTTGACCCTGTTTTCCCCCACCCCCGGGGTGTCTCATCAGTCACATTTGCCAACAGAGCAATTTCACAGGTTGTAGAGATCACTCCCCTCCGGCCGCTGTGGGTAACCCTGGGAGACAGCCTTGAGAGAGATATGTCTGGAATGCACTTTTGTTTTTGGTTGCCGTGCTGCTTTGCCATTTTCCCATCCCCCTTGCCTATGGCAACTCGAGAGCAGGCCAGGGATGCTTTGCAAGTTGACATGGTATAGGGTTTCCTGCTTGAGCAGGGGACTGGACTAGAAGAGCTCCAAGGTCCTTTCCAGCTCTAATTCTGATTGAGATTGAGACTCACAAGATTCTGTTGGTTTAGGTTTGCAGTAAAGAAGATTTAATTCATCTTGTCTGGTTTGCCAGATCCTCACTTCGTTTTTTCCCTAGCTGGTTTGACTCACTTTCTATTTCAAGACACTTGTTTTTTGTTTATTGTTTATTTTCTTTGGGGTTTTCTTTTTACTGAAAATTGTTCCGGGTGGTCACTCCTACGCTCAGCCACCTGCAACTAAGAGAGGCTTGTCTGAGCACCGATGAGGAAGGTTTTGTCCTAGTTCTCCCGTTAGGTAAGATCATTGTGCTCAGCTCTCTTGTCTTCATGAGATAAATTGTTATTATCAGCCTTGCTTGAACGTGGCAGATGGACCGAAGGGAAGAATTGGACAAAGAGTTAGCAGAACTGTAAAATCACTCAGGGATTCCCTGATGGACATGTAGGTAGTTCTCAACTTACAAACCATTCATTTATGCGTATGGTTTGCCTTTTGCACAGTGGCAGATAGGACAGCACTCATTGCCCAGAGGTTCATTAGTTGCCCCCTCCCCTCTTTGGAAGAGGTTTATAGCTCCCGCTGCCTTCAGAAAGTTCAAAACGTTCTTAAAGATCCATCTCATCCTGGGCACCCTTTTTTTTTAAACTATTACCATCTGGCAGCCGGTACAGGATAAAAAAAAAAAACAAGGACAAATAGGCTGAAAAACAGCTTTCCAGAGCAGTAACTATATTGAATTCTACTGTATAGCACAATATCAATGCAATGTCAGGGGTGTCAGGTTTCGTTGCTATCTTAAATAAACTTCATTCTCAAACGCAAGGTCTCTAATGAATCTTTTTTATTATTATTTAAGAATAGGAGAACTACATCCCTGAACTCTGTGTGCAGCCAAAACTGGCACCTCCTTCCAACCCCTCCCTTTCCGTTCCTCAACCCCAATGTCTCATTGGCCATCGTGCAGATCCATCTCTTCGTCCCAAGCACTTTCTTTTCACAGGAATTTCCCCCCTCCCTCTATCACCCAGGTAACGCTATCTACTGAAGAGCAGGGAACTAGGTAAAAGTTCATCTCAGCATTAAAGCAAAGCTTCTCCCTCTTTCATTCACTCATGTCAGCGCTGAAGGAGATCATAATTTGGAACACTGACAAGGGGTTTTCAATTCAATTGTATAGAATGTGAAGGAGGTGTGCTTGTGTTTTATTTTTATAGTTATAATGTACACGGAAGATGGCATTTAATTTTGTTGTACCATGTGCAATGACTTTAAAGTAAACTAACTAATTTAGCGACCATTTGAAGTTACAAAGGCACTGGAAAAATTGACTTATGAACAGACCTCACACCTGTGACCATTGCAGCATCCTCACGGTCATGTGATCCAAATTTGGGGCATGTATTTGTGACGGTTGCCCTGTCCCAAGGTCAGGTGATCCCCACTTGCAAACTTCCCGGCTTCCAACAAGCAAAGTCAATGGGATTCGCTTAACAACAGCAGGATTCACTCAACGTTTGCAGGGGTTCGCTTAACAAATGGGGCAAAAGTGGTATATAAAATCGGACGTATTTGCCAGTTCTCCAAACTACTCAAAATTTCCACTACCGGTTCTCCAGAACCTGTCAGAACCTGCTGGATTTCACCCAGGGGTGAAATGCTATGGGTTCGCTCTGGTTCTGGCGAACTGGTAGCAGCGGCGGCACATGGCTTGGCAAACTGGTAGCGGCAGCAGCGTGAGGCTCTGCCCACTCGCCTGGACATCATTACTTCCTGGTTTTAACCAGGAAGTAACCTGTTTTTGATCCTCTGCGCATGCACAGAAGGCTTTGCGCATGCACAGAGTGTCTAAAATCGGACGTAACAATGGCCCGCGCACGTCCGAACCGGTAGGGAAGGTAAGTAGATTTCACCCCGATTTCACCCCTGGTTCCGAGACAACCAACACAGTACAGTATGTGAAATTCAAAAGGATCAAAGCAGATGATGTCAAGTAAAAGGAGAAACGGGGGAGGGGGGGATAAAAGGGAAAAAAGTGAGATATCATAAAAACGTACGCAAATGATGTAATAAAATTAAATAATAAATTGAAATGAAATGAGAATAAAGATAATTAGAAAATCGGGGATGCTCGAATACCACTTTAGATTGAACTGAAAAAGGGGAAACAACAGGAGAGAGGGGAAGGAGTAGTGAGAGAGGAAAGGAGAAGAGAGGAGAGGAGAGAAGAGGAGAAAGAAGAAAGGGAAAAGGAGAGGAAGAAAAGGGAGGGGATAGAGGAGCAGAGGAGAAGGTTAGAAGGGGGGAAGATTTATTTATTTGTTTTATTTATTGGTTCGATTTATATGCCGCCCTTCTCCGGAGACTCAGGGTGGCTTACAATGTGTTAAGCAATAGCCTGCATACTTTTGTATATACCTGCTTAGTAGGGCTTTCGGCGGTATTCTTTTTTTATACAAAGTCAGCTTACTGCCCCCACAATCCGGGTCCTCATTTTACCTACCTCGGAAGGATGGAAGGCTGAGTCAACCTTAAGCCTGGTGAGATTTGAACTCGCAGTCATTGCAGGCAGCTGGCAGCTAAGTGCTACTTAACAGCACTTAGTCTGCTGCGCCACCAAGGCTCCTTGGTGAGAGGAGTGGGGGAAGAGAAAGGGAAGGAGGAAAGAGAAGGAGAGGAAGAAGGAAGGGAGTAGGAGGAGAAAGAGGAAGGAAGAGAAGGGGAGGAGGAGGAGAAGAAGAAAGGTTGGAGTAAAGGTAAAGGGTAAAAGAGCAGCCCCCGAAAAAGTAAAAATGAAAAATGAAAGTTAAAAGAAAAGACGAATGAAAAATGATGGAAATGACTGTACATGTGAATGTGTTTATGAGAAATAAAAATAAAAAAAACTTTTTCTAAAAAAAGCAAAATTGTGGGTCTGTTCCTTTCCACTTGGTTCCTCTAGGCAGTGAGTAGGGCTTAATGTTTCAGTTCTGCTTCTGAATGCAACAGCGTGTAACTGATCGCTATGCCACACGGCACAGTAATAAGCTCCTTCGTCGCCTTCCTCGACACGCGAAATGGTCAGCTTTGCAATGTTGCCGTAAGTCTCTGCAGAGAAACGGTCGGAAATCCCGTAGGCTCTTTCCCTGGATTTGTAGAAGAGCAACTTGGGAGGCTGTTCTGCTTTCTGTTGATACCAGGATGGGTTCGTGGGGCTGATAAACTCCACGCCTTGCAGAGTGCAGGTTACGACGGTTGTTCCTGCAAGGCCCACTGAAAGGGGGTCGCTTTGAATCACCTGAGCCTGGGAGAGGACGCCTGCAAAGAACGAGATTGTCAACCTCCTGTCTTGCTTGCAAGGCTGCAAAGGAACCTTGTGTGGCTGTAAATTGAGGAAGAGAAAGAGGAAGGGAGAAGGGAGGAGGAGGAGGAGGAGGAGGAGGAGGAGGAGGAGGAGGAGGAGGGGAGGAGGGAGGAGGAGGAGGAGGAGAGAGAAGAAGAAGAAGAAGAAGAAGAAGAAGAGAAGAAGAAGAAGAAGAAGAAGAAGAAGAAGAAGAAGAAGAAGAAGAAGGTTTTATACTAGAGAACAGAAAGGGGAAAGGAGAATTCTTCTCATATTGGAGGAGGAGGAGGAGGAGAAGAAGAGGAGGAGGAGGAAGAGGAAGGAGAAGAAGAAGAAGAAGGAGAAGGAGGAGGAGAAGAGAAAGAGGAAGGAGAAAGAGAAAGAGGAGAAGAAAGAGGAGGAGGAGAAGAAGGAGAAGGAGAAATAGAAGTAGGAGAAGGAGAGGGAGAAGGAGAAGGAGAAATAGAAGTAGGAGAAGGAGAAGGAGAAGGAGGAGAAGGGGAAGGAGAAATAGAAGTAGGAGAAGGAGAAGGAGAGGGAGAGGGAGAAGGAGAAGGAGAAGGAGAAGGAGAAATAGAAGTAGGAGAAGGAGAAGGAGAAGGAGAAGGAGAAGGAGAAGGAGAAGGAGAGGGAGAAGGAGAAGGAGAAGGAGAAGGAGAAGGAGAAGGAGAAGGAGAAGGAGAAGGAGACAACATAGCCATAGTTAAGGCTTCCTCCTTGTATTTTCCCAACCATGACCCTATGAAGTAGCTTGGGCTGAGAGGGAGTGACTGGTCCATTTAACTGGCTCCCATGCCTTGCATCAGAGTAGACTAAAAGATCTCCCAGTTTCTACTCCAGCACTTTCACCACCATGCCATTCTGGTTCTCCAACACAGCTTTTGGGAAACCAAGACAAAATCCTTGGCTTAAAACCATGACCCGAACAACTCAGATTCTTGTTAAATTGCCTCTACTCAGCTTCAACCCTTCTCATGCTCACCAAAGCAAGAAACTAGGACAATGACGACTCCATAGCAATTCGCCATGGTGATGACTGGAGACCAGAGCAGCTTAGCAAAGTTCTCCCATTCTTCTCAATTTAAAGTCTTGGGAGGGCTAGAAAAGATATCCTGTATGCAAATAGGCACTTCCTTCCTGGAGTGGAATGATTGTGGGTCAAATCGTTTTTGCTCAAAGTTTTTTTATATATATATATTTTGTAAAAGAAATAATTTTAGAAATGATATTCTGAGTACAGGTCTACCCTGAAGGACCCCGAGTTTACTTTCTCATAAGAAAGGGGTCTTCTCATTTCATGCCTGCTTTAAAAGGGACAACCTTTGGTCCTGAATGAATGCCCATTGTGGTTTTAGTCTTATTCCTCTCACACTGCTCCTTCCACAGGGGTGAGTAAAGTTACAATTTGACTCTTCAGCAAAAACACAATCCATTAAGTTAAGACCGTTGCTCCATCACTGGAGCATCACTCTTCAAAAAGAGTGACAGCTTTGGAAGCCATATTAGCCCCGGAAGCTTCCGCACTGCCACCTTCTCGTGTGTGGGAAAGTAGGAGAGGGGATTCGAGTTAATGTCAGCGTTCCAGAAAACCCCAACTCCATTAAGAGCCTTGGTGGCGCAGCAGACTAAAGTGCTGTTAAGTAACACCAGCTGCCTGCAATTACTGCAAGTTCAAATCTCACCAGGCTCAAGGTTGACTCAGCCTTCCATCCTTCCGAGGTAGGTAAAATGAGGACCCGGATTGTGGGGGCAATAAGCTGACTTTGTATAAAAAAAGAACACCGCTTAGGGGAGGCCCGAAAGCCCTACTAAGCAGGTATATACAAAAGTATGAAGGCTATTGCTTAACGCATTGTAAGCCACCCTGAGTCTCCGGGGAACGGGTGGCATATAAATCGAATTATTTTGTTATTATACAGATCTCTGGAGAAATATTTGGGAATCTCAGACAGGATTTTATTTTTAATTGTACACGAACAATTGAAAAGTCATTTCCAATCTCGTTAGCATTTAATAATCTCCCCACTGCACAAACTACAGGATATAAACCCCTTCCCCTATGGAAACGATATATTCCTGGATCTTTTCATGCTACTAAAAATGTAGATAAGTGTCTTTTGTCTAATCAAAGAAATGAGTTTCTCCGTCTCAGTGAGTTCTGTCAATTTTACCAACTATTCCTCCAAGGTAGTTAATGTCCATTTTTTCCATCTCTGTGCATATAAAAATCTCATTGCAGCAGTCATAGATTGATTGAAATAATCTCCCATGGATTTTTAAAAACATTATCAGTTCTAAAAGGGAAAATGTTGGCTTCAGTTGACTGTTGAAATTAATCCTGTTGAGGTTCTCCATGCTGCTAATATAACCAGGCAGCCAAAGGTCCACTTAGAGTGTCATATGTTATATTTTATATATGTTATTTATAGTTCCATGGTATTCAGTAGATACCACCTATCCCCACAGGAAGAGGACAATGGATCCATTTCTACCAGTTCATGTAGATCTTCTCAAAGCTTAGGAGCCAGAAGTTGTTTTTTGATCTTCGAGCTCCACCTGGTGGCAAGGCTTTTGAATCACTATCTTGGCTTGAGTTGGATGAGAAGGTTCTTCAGCTTGAATGAATCAAACAGACATTCAGATCAACAAAGGGTTTCCTCCCATGGGAGGTGGCAACAGATGCAGAAAAAATATCCGTGGTTTCCGGAATCCGAATGACCGTTAACCACAAATAAGAAGTATGGTGAGATAGACGCAACCTTCACACACAAATAGTTTCCTGTTGGCTGAAGTTGGTCAAGATACTTGCAGATATCTTTGTTTTGGCATGCGGTCATGCGGTCACCTTGAAAGTGACCGCATGACTTTCTCTTTTAGGCTCCTCTCTCTTTTTTTTTATTAAATATAAACAAAGATATAAAGACAATACAAAGACAAACAAAACTCCCACCACCTACCAAACCCACACAACATTCTACATATATACTTTTTGTCATCAACAGAATATATAGTATTTTACTTTACATATTAATAAAAAAATAGTATTAGATTCTTAATTCAAATACTTTAAACTAAAAATATACTTGCATCATCTCCTTATTCATCTCCTACTGTTAATCTTTCACCCTAATTTCTACTATCTACTGTTACACTAATTTTCCTTTCCAGCCATTGATACCATTGGTGCCACACAAGGTAATAATCACTTTCTTCCTTGTCCTGGAGTTCCAGCATCAATCTATCCATTTCGGCACATTCTGTTATATTTGAGATAATTTTATCTTTGGTTGGGAGTTGGTCTGATTTCCAATTTTGAGCGAACAGTAATCGTGCTGCTGTCAAAATGTGTATAATAAGATATTTCGTCTCTTTGGTGTATTGTGCTGCTGTCATGCCGAATAAAAAGAATTCAGGCTCCTCTCAGTGGACCAATTGATCAACTCAACTCAACCCTGTGCGTTTCAACAGGATCCGTGTCTAATTAACCTAGTTTGGATCCGGCCCGAGAATTCCATAGGCACAACATTAATGTTCCTTCACAGATGAAGGAGGAGGGTTCATAACGCAAATGTGTTGTCCAACCTCATATCTGAATCACAAGTTCTGCCAACTGGTTTCCCAAATTAATTCCGTTATTTATTTATTTATTTATTTATTTATTTATTTATTTATTTATTTATTTATTTATTAGATTTTTATACCGCCCCCTCTCCCTAAGGACTCGGGGCGGTGAACAGCCAAAATTAAAAACATACAATATAAACAATTAAAATACGTTTAAAACAGAATTAAATCTAAAATGGCTCCCCAATTTAAAACGTCTTACCCATACCCCTATAAATAAGACGAATTTAAAATTTAAAAATTTTAAATTTCCACATTTAAAAAGGGGGAAGATTTAGGCCAGGCCAGCTTGATAGAATAGAAAAGTCTTAAGCGCGCGGCGGAAGGTGCGCAGATCCGGGATCCTACGTTATGGAACAGAGCTGGAGAACCTCTTCAGACCTTAAGCTGAATCCATCAGTCAGTTGGCCGTCTCTTACCAGCTGTCATGAATGAATTCCCCAAGGGGTAGGAGTTTTGTTTACATTACTCCATAGTGTGTAGCACAGTGGTATTCTGACCCCGTGGAAGATAGGCAATAATAGGTGGCTTCGTCGCCTGCTTGGACCTCAGAGATGGTTAGATAACAGGCGTTAAGACCATCATCTTTGGAAGCAGCAAATCTATCTGAGACACCAGTTTTCCTCCTTTGATTGGATCCATCTTTATAATACAAAAGATATCTGGGAGGGTTTGGCAGTTGATGCTGAAACCAGCTTATGGTGTGAGTTGCCATGGTGCCACCGGAAAGGGTGCAAGAGATCTGAACGGCTTTTCCCAGGGATGCCGACACGGAGGGAGGCTGGACCAATGAGATTGCTGCATCTCCTGCAAGTTGGAAGACATAAACACAATGCATAGATCAGGATAGGAAGGATGTTCCTTTCTAGAGGTTCTTGAGATGGTGCTGTGATGCCAGGAGTCCTGGAATCCATCCTTTGTAACTCAGTTGGACAAGTAACAGAGACAGCAGGTTGTCCTTTGGTCTTCTTGAGATAAAAGCTATCCTGTTTCCTGGACCAGCTCCCTCAATTTTCTCTGATTGCTCATTACGCCAGGAATTGCCACTCCAAATTCTTCTGCGAAGTCTCCTACCCCTAGTCCTTCCTCAAAAACTCACTTTTTCTAGCTAATACTTGGGTCATTCAAGTATTTTACGATTACTGCTCAACCAAGACCAGTTGGTAGAAAGAATGGTGGTAGCTGCTCTCGTACAGAACCACAGAGATGATCTCGGAGAAGGTCTGCAAAAAACGCAACCATGCTTGAAGCCCTTGGAAATATGGACAACATTAAGAAGCTGGAAACTACTTCCCACTCGCTCCCAAGGAAGACCAAATGGTCAGCCTTTCAAGATTTTGTTAACCTGAATCAACAAAGTAGAGTTATCAAATTCATGGATTCTTTTTTTCTCATCTGGCCAACTTGAAGAACAGACAAGTCCCCTCTTCCACCCACTATGTTTCTATATTCTCTTTTTCGGCCTTTCCTTAGCATGTTTCTTCTTCTTTGTGCCCCTTACAAGGTCTGTTGTCCCCAAATCACCCTTTGCATGAAAGGGTTCTGTCTGTCCATCAATTCCTAATGGGACAAGCTGATCGTGGCTTAAACTCTGCCAGTTCCATAAGATCCAAGTGCAATTAATTTAACCTGCATTTCTCCCCCTCTCCCTCATAATATCATCCATCATTAATTTAACCTGCATTTCTCCCCCTCTCCCTCATAATATCATCCAATAATGAAGAAATTTGCAGCCAAAGCTTGCTGTTTGGGCATAAAATATTACCCCTAGTGCTTGCTATCAAGAGCGCCAGAAGCAAGAATGAAGATGCTAGCAGGTTCATATTAGAAATCAGTTTTGCAAACCTGACGATCTCTAATTAAAAAAAAACAAAAAAAACTTTGGCATCTATCTCTGATAAAAATGTTGATTTGATGGCGATGGTAGAGAAGCATTGAAAATACAACTAATTATAGACCAGACACCCATCCCCAAAAAAAGAATGCAAATGAACTCCTACCTTCTGGGGTATTTGCATATATCTTCCCCCAAACTGTAGGAAAGCATTAATAAGGATGGTATCAGGGGTGTGCTATAGCCAGCCTGTGCTGATTCATGGCAGTCCGTTGTTAATTTTTTGGGAAGTTTGCTAGCCAGCTGAAAGCAGAGTTGGCCCTCTGCAGCTGTAGCACCCATCAGCTGTTTGGCAGCTGGCAATGAAGCACAGTGGGTAGAGTCTCTTGTTATACGTTTACCAGCACATCACTGGTGGTACAGATATTGCTCAAGTTACAGCTATAATGGAACCTTCCTTCCTTCCTTCCTTCCTTCCTTCCTTCCTTCCTTCCTTCCTTCCTTCCTTCCTTCCTTCCTTTTTCTTTTCTTTCCATTTTTCCTTTTTCTTCTCTTTCCATTTTTCCTTTTTCTTCCTTCCTTCCTTTCTTTCTTTCTA